AAAAGAGAGGAGAGTCCAGGAGTGTTAATCCACTAAATTTCCCTCAGGTAAATCTGAGAAGTAGGAAGATATGTTCTTCCCTCACAGTTGTTACCTTCTAACTCATCTACAAGTTTCCTTTCTAGCTACTGAAATGTATTCAACTTCCATCAATGTTTATAGTGCTCTCCTATCCTTAGTTGAAAATCTGATTACTATTGAGCTTGTTACATGAAGGTGGATTTAAGATAAGTTCATATTAGAGATGCTTTTGTACAGTTCTAAGATGTTAATAGCTCTTCACTTGAGCATACAATTATTTTAAATAATTGATTTTGTCAAATAAAGGAGGCTACTGAAAATGTAAGGAATAATTTAGAGGAACTCAGAGGTATTGCATTATTATATATTGGTTTTGTAGAGTTCTATTCATTTTAATACAAATCATTAAGATCCCCTCTCTTCCTTTTAGTCAATAGGGCTTGTAAATCACATATGGTGAAAGTAGGTCATCAGATTATGAGCAAAGTGCAGAGATACTTTTCCAGGCCAGAAAATATGAGTGTGTTTTTGTTCTTATCAGGTGAGGCTGGGCAGTTTGACATTCCTGGAGAATTATACTAGTGCCTCAATATAAACAGTTCTCACAGTTTATTTCCATGAGCTTACCTGGTCTTTATAACTGCCTTGTAAAGTAGTAATAGCAGGCTTGACTATCCCCAGCTCACAGAGGAGGAAACAAACTTAGAGAGGTAATGTGGTTGTTCTGGGTTATAGAGCTGGGAAATGGTGCAGATAGGGCTTTTCTCATTGTTTTTCTTTAAAACATTACTTTTGGGTGTAATATTTATATAAATCAGTTTTTCATCATAAAAGTAACACGAAAATAATTTGGGAAGACGAGAAAAAGGTCATCAGGTACCTCTCTACCCAATATAAGTCAGTATAAATTGTGAGTTCTCAGAGGGTAAAAACAAAACGTCCAGGTCAATAATTGAAAATGCTATTGGGAGTTTGAGATCTGGATACTTAGAATCACAGTTTGAGTGGAGTCAGTATATACAGAAGATCTTTGATTGTGGTTCTTGGGGCAAAGGGGCTCCTGGGCTCCTGAGTAAAGCAGGAACTTTCTCTGGATGCACTTTGCAAAGAACCTAAAATTCCTCTTTCCCTCTGCTGTCTTGATTCGTAATAGCCTTCCTCTTCCCTCACCACACACATACCCTCAAATTGAAATGAATAATAAACTTCTGACATGTTAACTGTCTTATAAGGAATATGACCTTTATGCCTTTGTTTCTCCTGTACACATTGTGAAATGGGAGGGCCTTTCAAGGGTGAGGCATCGGGGTCAGGGAAGTTAAGTGACTTTCTGAAGGTCACATGGCTAGAGAATGGCAATGCTGACTTCCAGTTTCCAGTCCAGGAATTGCCATCCTGTCGTGTTGGGCTTGAGGATGCCATGTTGATGAACCTCTTGCAAGGTACATGGTTTTTTTTAAATAGCCATGCTCTTTACTCTAATCTGATTAGACAGGGGTGGTGGGGCTGGGCAGAAGTGTTTGAACTTCCTCTGGTAGATACGGGCAACGATTTTAGGTTCTTTACCTAAGGCTGCAGTATCTGTTTTAGAAAGAGTAGTGTGAGAGTGGTACCCAGGATGAATTAAAGCAAAATTAGTATTATTTGGGAACTTGTTGGGCCCACCCCAGGCCTACTGAGTCAGGAACTCTTTTTATAATAAACCCTTGAGGTAACTCTAATACATGCTGAAGTCTGAGAACCACTGAATCAAAGCCAGAATAGTCAGGAAGGCATTCTTGGAGACTATTTCAGAATTCAGACTTGAAGTAATAAGAGTCTCAGTTAATGTGATAGCAATGGAAATGGAAAGAACTGACTCCAAGAGATGTTTGAGAAGTTCTGGCTGAGGTTCAACTTGTTCTCTTAGTTCTTCCGTGTAAAACACATCGTTGTGCTGGTTTTGTGTGTGTGTGTGTGTGTGTGTGTGTGTGTGTGTGTGTGTAGTGGGGAGTGTCTTACTTTCATGTGGGCATCTTAGTAAACCACTTAGAAAGGTGGAGTTTACAGCGTTTGGAGGTGCTGAGCTCCCACTTTGGTTTACCCCGGTAAGCTGGGGCATTTACATGCATCCTCCCAGGTGATGGTGCGGCCAGCTGAGATGCAGAGGGGATTGTTTGTTTGGCAAGGGGACTGGTATCTTTTCAGAGCCCATTTCCCTGTAATAAAAGATGAGCTGTAACCCAAGACCTGGTGGGAGTGAAGATTAAGAGAACAGGTGAGAGGTAAAACTGGAAAACCTAATAGTTGAAGGGGTGATTAGAAAGGGAGTGGAGATTTCTGAGCTAAAAATTTCTCTTTGTTTTTAACGTAAAACCCTTCCTCTCTGCCATTATTTTTTCTGGTTTCTGCCTGCTTTCTGTCCTCATTTTCTCCCCTTCTCTGTCTTGCTCACCACATTCCCTGCTTAGAATCTCCCCCTCTTCCCTCAACCGAGGTATTCCCATGGCTGGATCCATATTACAGCACTTGGAGGTCCCCCTTTCAGACCTTTCCGTGACCATCTGCATAAATGTTGGGCCTCATCCCACCCACTTTCCCAAACCAGTTTCTCTCCCAGATTGTTTAGCCAGCCTGAGGTGATAGTAGCTGCTGGTCTTCTTGTTTAAGTCTGCACTTCCTACAGGAGAACAAAGGCCACTTTAGAGCCCCAGGTCCTGTGTTTCTTGTTCATTTTGTATCCCAAGCCCCAAGAAGGGCACCTGGCACATAGTTAGATCTCCATAAATACTAGTTGAATGAATTCTAAGTAGAGATTTGATTGGGGTGAAGGGTGGGGTAGGAATGGGGTAAAATGTGATTGTAGAGACAAGACAGCAAATGATGGCTAAGTAGGACTGGGTAGTGGAGGTGAAAAAAGATAAATCCAAGAGATATTCAGGAAGTAACACTGACCAAATATGGTGATGGACTGAAGGGAGGTATCAAGAAATTTTCTCATGATAAGTCTTCCCTAGAGAGGTTTGTCAACTCCTCGCCTTCTTATTTGGCCTCTTTACTTAAGGGCAAGGCAGTTCTGCATTATTCATGGTTCTCCAGAGAATCAGGACCAATAGGATACAGAGATGAGGAGATTTATCTTGGGACTTGGCTCATGTGACCAAGGAGGCCTAGGAGTTCCATGGCCTGCTGTCTGCAAGCTGCAGAACCGGGAAAGCCTGTCGTGCAGTTCGCTTCAGTCTGAAGGCTCGAGAGCCATGAGCACAGGAGAGCCCCAAGTCACTCATCCTCTGCTTTTTGTTGTAGTCAGGCCCTCCATGGATTGGAAGATGCCCACCCACATCGGGGAGAGCCATCTGCCTTACCCAGTTCGCCAATTCAACAGCTAATCACTTAGAAGCACCCTCACAGACACATCTAGAAATAGTCTGTTACCAGCTGTCTGGACATCCCTTAGCCCAGTCAAGTTGACACAGAAAATGAACCATCACAAATTTTTAGCTCTTCAGCCACCCCTCCACCAATCTTGTCTCAATTCCACACCTTCAAGCAGAGAGGTGCCTTCAAGCTCTAGGCATGAGGGATTTTCTGTTTTTTACCCAGATCAGATTTACCTAACCAGCCACCCAGCCATCTACCTGCTCAACAGTATTTACTGAGTATGTGTGATGTTCTAGATACCACTGAAGGCACCGCGGGCAGAGGAGTGACTAGAACAACCTTCTTGCGTTTATGTCATAGGGAGCGAAGGAAGACAAAGGCAAACGTGTCCACAAATTCAGCACGGGATACTTTGGATGGTAATAAGTGGTATGGAGTGAAAAACAGTGAGGCAGGATGGGGCGGGGTCCATGAGGCTGTTCCAAGTTGGTGCTTCTTGAGCTAAGATCTGAATAACAGGAAGGTGCCAGCCATTAGGAGTTCTAGGGGCAGAGGGTCATTCCCAGTAGAATCTTCAAAGCCCATTTCTGTTAGATGAGTAACTAGTGAGATTTTGTTTTCATGCTTGAAAGAATGAATTTGTAGAGGTTGGAGGCATGGAAATTAAATTTTAAGTACTTTTAAATAAATCACATTGCTCATTTACTTACTGAAATACTTATTGAAATATACTCCTATTAAAATTATTACAAAAACATTTTAGAGATGGCTCTAGTTTTAAAGAACAAAATTTCTATCAATCAAATAATTAACTTAATTTTCAAAAAAAGGATAAAATCATGACTCATAGAAATGTAGAAATGAACACATTTTAAAAGCTTAACTCATTAATCAATGAAGGAACTAGGCAAATGTTATAACAGATTTAAAGGAGAAATGAAAACAACACAAATTTTATGTAATAAAGGAGTGTCAAATGTGCAAATTAGCTCCTTCTACCTGGATGGAAGTCACTTGACCCTCTCCTGGCCAGGACTGAACTGACATGCCAATGGACAACAGTTATTTTGTATTGCTATCTTTTACTTACAGTTCACAGAGTTGTAAGATAGCTCCCATCAAAAATCAAAATCAAAAGCAAGTAACCTGGAGGGGTCTCCTCTAGACAATTCATTTTTCCACTAAAGCACATTTTTCCCCTTTTATAACCAAACTAAAACAAAATAACTTCGGCTTCCCCCATGAATAAGGGTAGTTATACTTGTGGTCTTTGGAGTGATAGAGAGGTGGGATAGGGGCTAACAATCACTTATTCACTGCTGCTCTGAGCATTATTTGTCATTTATTCCACCCTTACAATAGCCCCATGAAATAGGGGGTGGTGGTACCATTTTACAGAAAAGAAATGACAGCTCTCGGAGGTTCAAGACTCTGCTAATAAGAGGCATAGTTAGCATTACAGCCTCTCTGTTTGTCTCCAAGTATGTGTACACACACACACACACATACACACACACACACACTCTCTCTCTCTCTCTCTCTCTCTCTCTCTCTCCCTGTGACAACTTGCTGATAGTAAAAGCTGTAGAAATTCTATATATTTTTTTCTGTATCTTTAGGTCAGCATCAACCAAGTTGGATCTCAAGAATGGCCTGGAAGAATGTGAAGTGGCATTGAAATTATTTCTAAGTAACAGATTTACAGATGCCTTAGAATTGCTTCAACCATGGTAATTAACTTTATGTCTTTTAGGTAAAATTATATTTTTTTCAGCTATGTTTGATGACTGTCTTTTATGTCATTCTTGTCAGTTAATTTATCTGTATTTCCACATAAATATTTGGTTGAGACCCCTTACCATTGGTTAGTTTTAATATTCAATTAAATCTGCCTTTCAACTTTAATAAGTAGAAGGTTTCTTATTCTTTCTCATATTTTAATTTCTATACATGTTTAAATAATGTAATTTATGTCATTTATGTAGTTTTGTAGAGTTCTATTTTGCTTTCTTCAGTGAATTATTTTTTTTTTATGGATATTCCTCTTAAGCTTAAATGTAATTGAGAAAAATTTCCTTCAAAATGGATATAGGAAGAACTAGAATATGGTAATCTCAAAGTCTAAAAAATTATAAATGTTATTGGAACTCTCTGTTTTTGTGATAAACAAGTTAATAACTTGTGTCAGTTAATAGTACCTGTTAATTTTTAAATGTGGTAGCAAAACCTGTGCTCAACCTTCTTATTAGGCCTTACTTTGACTGCAGTCCCCAGCCTCACAGTGTGACTACAGCTTGACAGGACTGCCTACTCTTACATTGTGCCTTTATGCACAGTGACCTACTTAGGCGAAGCTTAGATTTCATATAATAATTTTCTAGAAGGTCAGCTGGGCACAAAAATGGGAATCTCATTCGTTTGAGCCATCAATAGGGTAATGTGATTCTGGTCCTTGCCTTTGAATCTTAGAAATTAATTTACCTACTGAGGAGCTGCTTTGGTATTTCTATTAAGATTTAGAAGACCTCGGTCGCTTAGCATTTCAGAGGTTAGGAACATATGTTAAAATAGATGGTGAAGCCCATAGCTTAAGGAAATTGTCCGGTGTTGTCTCTAACACTTTTCTCGAAGCCTCTACCTTGCCTGTCTCCTGACTTCTTCCCCAATGACTTCTCCATCTCTCCATCTTGTGTCTCTACCTCCCTCTGTCTTCCTCTCTGTCTTTTTTCCTTTGCCTGTCCTCACTCAGCCTACTTTCCCGTCTGCACCGTTTTTTAGTCAAACAGGTCTCCTTTTCTCTGCCACTGACACCCCACTGGACATAATATGGAATAAAAATAAAGGTTTTAGTATTGTATTTAGTGGAGCTATGTAGTCTCTGATCTTTATGTATGTTTCACTTATAAACATATACTTTTTTCTTACTTGAATACCTTTTTTTCCTCTTGGAAGAACTTTTGGTTTAAATATGAGGTTCAAAACCACAATTACTGGTTAACTTTGGGCTGTCATTACTTGCGGTCCTTCTAGACGGGTCCTTTTAGACTTTTTCCATGAGGGAAAAAAAATACAGTCGCTTGCATTTGTTTTGCATGGCAGCAGGCTGTTGTGATTATATTTGAATTAAAAATGAAATTGTGCATTAGCATTTTAAATCTTATAAATAATTAACATTATTTAAGAAGTTTTGAGAAAAGTAATGGTGAGGTTTTTTTCACAACTTGGGAATCTGGGATATCTGCCATACATTAGGACTAATTGACCTCCTTAAGAATCTAATGATTCTCACTGATAACTTGGTAACTTGAATTACCAAGAACTTTAATCAGGAATCTCAGATAATGGGATTAGATTAGATATGCAATTTAAAATGTACTTTTGTAAGGGCCCTTTGCTACCAGCCTACCTTTATTGTGAAAATCTTGCTTTTCTCTTGACCTCTGGCTGGGGGAGAAGAGGGGACAGTTTTAAATGAGCCTTTATTTTTCAAAAAACATCAGAATCCGTCTGTCACAAAATGTATTTCCAGTGGCTTTTATTGTAGCACTTACATTAGAGTTAAAGACAGCACATTGCCCCTTATTCAACAGGGGAAAAGCGGTTTGCTTTGCAACGTTTTCTGGGAAATGAATTCGCAGGCCGCCCTCTTGTGCTGAAACAGGGAAAAGCATCTTGTCTCATTCTCTTCCAACCTGGAATGTTCTGTGCTGCCTGGGTGGGTTTAAATTGGAGAGTCCTTGATTCTCAGGTGTTTTAGGACCTGTCCTTTACAGCCTTATTACTTCAGTGACTATGGTAAAGGAGTAAATATCACTGTGGAAGTCAAGACATGTATTTATTGGAATTTTTCTTGATTACGATCAGACAAGACCTGAATGCTTTTCAGTTGAATTAAAATGTGCTAATTCTCTGTGTTGCCCCCAGGGCTAAGGACAGCATGTACCATGCCTTGGGCTACAGTACCATTGTGGTATTGCAGGCCATCATGACCTTCGAGCAACAGGACATCCAAAATGGCATTTCTGCCATGAGGGACGCCTTACAAACCTGCCAAAAGTATGAACTGAGTAATTAAATACTTGAGATATGACTGTAAACCTTTCTGTATGTGTGATAAAATGAATGCGGCTTGCCCAACGGAGAGCTCTGTTTGAAGTTGGCCACTGTTGTAGAAAAGGACTCGAGCTTCAAACCTTTCTTGGCCTCATGTAGTTTTATGTAATAGAGACAAAAATTTCCTATTAGGAATTACAGTACAATTCTTGTTTGTACTGTAAATTGGCATCTATGCCATCCACTTTTCCTTTTTGGTCGGCTGAACTGCAGCGAGAAGGGCCGAAGGAGATGTCAGGGGGGCGAGTTTAGGCACCGGGCCCCGAACCAGGAGGTCAGGACACGTTCTTCCTGCTGCAAATTCAGAAGAGAATATTTTATTTGTTTGAAAAGAATATAGTTGAACACTTTGGTTGGTGAAAATGAGATAGATTTTCAGCTTTATTTTAATCTTTGCTCTGTGTGTATAGGAAGACTCGAACAAAAGCTGTTAGCTAACGTTGGTGAATTTTAACATTGTGCAATTATATACTCAGGTAATTATGTTGCCAGCCCCACAAATGAAGACAACTTTTGACTATTGAACTCTGAATTTCATTCTGTACCCCATGGTGGATCTTACCACAGAAACATTGATTCCAGCCATAGAAATCAGGGAAGCTGCTTGGCAGGGTTGGTGTTCGCTCTTTGGGCTGGGCCTGTCCGCTCGCATGTTCAGTGAGCAGGGGTTGAGTGCCCAGAGCATGGCAGCCCAGGGCCCGAGAGGGGAGGCAGGGCCGGAGGGGCGGTCTCTGCCCTGCAGGCTTCAGTGCTGAGCTCTGCCTTGGTGACTCTTTGGTGTGATTGTGTCTGAAGAGGATGTCAACTGAAAATGAGCTCAGGCTAATTTATTGTTATTTTTCTTTCCATTTCCTTCCCTTCTGCTTATTCTATGCAGATACAGGAAAAAATGCACAGTTGTAGAATCTTTCTCAAGTTTTCTTTCTAGAGGATCATTGGAACAGATGACTGAAGGTAAGAGTCATTTAAAAGATTATTTTCTCTTTGAAAAATTGAAATGTGATCATGATCATAAAATTCAATACTTAAGTGTATCATATAAAGTAAATGGGATGTCTTTTTCTCTTTCTCATCATACTGTCCAGAAGTAACCATTGGTAGTAGCTGGTTTTGAAGCCTTGCAGACTTTTCTGTACATATATAAACACACACACAAGGCACACATGGGGTTTTTGTAGTTGTTCATGTATTTTTCATTTTGGCAAGCATATAATCACATTATATATATTGTTCTACGGCGTGATTTTTTTTTTGATACTGACATTTTCCCATGCCAGTACATACTACTTGTACTTCATTCTATTTAATAGCTATGGTGTAGTATTCTGTAGGATGAGGTAGCATAAATTACTTGCTTTTTCTCTATTGAAGGACAGTTGCATTATTTTTACTTTGTCACTGTTATAAATAATGCTGTCCTAAAGGTCTTGTACCCATATCTTTGTGCATTCTTGGTAAGTGTTTCAGAGGATAGAGTCCTGAAAGTGGAATTACTGGGACTTAAGATTTAAAAATCGATAATATTGATAGGTACTGCCTATGTTTTCTCTACAGAGTTGGGTCAATTTATATTCCTACCATCCATGTATGAAAGCTACTATTTTTCTTCATGCTATTAAATTTTTTTCCAAGGTAAAATTAATTTTGATACCTTAAAAAATATTGATAATGTTTCATATATGGAAAATGTTTGGTTTGTGGACATTCAGGAAATATTTAGGAATCCAGGAAAGGCTCTAGCACCTTGATCAGATGGATGGAGTGGGGATGACTCTTTTTGTCGTCAGTTGCTGCGTGTTCCCACTGAGACCAGGGCAGAAGTTCCATGATCAGCCTTGTTGCATAGGTGTTGCACTCTAGTCAAAATTGATTATCCAGATATCCTGCAGAAGAAAAAATATGTTCCTCAGATGTGGCCATTCTGAATAAAGCTTCTGCCATCCAAGAAGAATTTCTGCACGTGTTGTCATTGTCAAATTTACTCTCTGGAAGAGGTACCACAGAATAGGAGAAGTAGCTGTGGCTGATTAAGGCAAGAGCAATTCTGGATACTGCCGGCAGAGGCATTCCCAGTCTTCCAGTGTATGCCAGACACAGTTTTTACCTGTTTTATTATGAAGTTTTATTTTGCTAGAGGAGCTTGGGAACGTTTGCCTGATGTGAGCCTAGGATACTGACTACAGCAGAGGACTATGGGACCTGTTCCAAAAGGGTATGATGTTGGCCCTTGAACCATTATAGAACAGAATGGCATTCCATGGGTCACTCCAGGCAGCTGATGCCCACCTTCTTTTTCTCAGAAAATGACCTGTAAGAACCCATAAGAAAGATCTTTACCCCTTGATTTTGGGTAAAATATGCCTTCACATTTTTTAACTTTGTGCCATTGATGTAAATTGGCCCCAGTTGTCCTAAAGTCTACTAAAGTAGCAAATTAAATGGGCTCCACAGAAATTTGACTCTTTCATTTATAGTCTCCTTTCTGTTTTTCTCTGTGTGGTTTCCCTCCAGTAGCCTATTGCCCCCTGCTTCCCCTTTTCTTTGCAATGTGAAGGCTTACATTTGAGATTTTTTTTTACCTTAGTTTTGGGAACAATAACATGGTATTTTTAATGTAAGTATAAATAATAATAATAATTCAAAAAGTAATCGTAATAATGCCCCATTATGTCTGTGCATCAGACATTGTTTTTGATGCTTTTCTTAACATTATTCAATCGAATCTGTGTAACCTTCTTTTTATGGGCTAGGAACTAACGTTTAGAAGACTGAACACATGGCCCATGATTACACGCCTAGCAGAGCAGGTTTAAACCTGGTCTGCCTTTCCCTAAGCCATAGTTCTTTCCACGGTACCCCAGGCTTTCTCAGTGCACACGTAGAGACGGGCTCAGACTGTGTCTCATATAGATGAGGGAAATGTTGACTTATTTCTCTTAGACATCCTGAAAATAGATGGTACTGTGTCCTTATCTTTTTATATCTTTGGACAAACACTTTAGAAAATCTGGAATAGGTAGAAAAGTACTTTATACTACATATTAAAAAAATAAACAGCAATGAGATCCTACTGCATATCTATTAGAATGTCCAAAATGTGGGTCATTGCAACAGGAAATGTTGGCAAGGATGTAGAACAGCAGGAACTCTCCTTCATGGCTGATGGGAATGCAAAATGGTGCAGCCACTTTGGAGGGTAGTTTGATAGTCTCTTATGAAACATACAATCAGTAATCGCTCTCCTTAATATTTACTCAAAGAGTGAAACATATGTCCATAGGAAAACCTGCAAATGAATATTTATAGCAGCTTTATTCATAAATGCCAAAACTTGTAAGCAGCTAAGATGTCCTCCAGTACATGAATGAATAAATATACATCCATACAAGGGAATATTATTTAGCACTAAAAAAGAGCTGTCAAGCTAGGAAAAGACATGGAGGGACCTTAGATGCATTTTGCTAAGTGGAAGACACCAATCTGGAAAGGCTATATGCTGTATGATTCCAAGTATATAACATTCTGGAAAAAGCAAACCTGTGGTGACAGTAAAAAGATTAGTGGTTGCCAGGGGATCACAGAGAGGGATGAACAGTAGAGTGGGGGAGGTTTTCAGAGCAGTGAAATGCTCTGTGTGATACCGCGGTGGTAGATACACGTCATTGTACACTTATCCAAACACAGAGAATGTGCAAGGCCAAGTGTGAAACCTAAAGTAAACTGTGGACTTTGGGCGATGGTATCAGTGGAGGTTTGCCAATTGCAACAAATGTATCACAGATGTTAATAAGTGGGATGTGCTGATGTTGGAGAAGCTGTGCATGTTTGGGGTTAGAGGGTATATGGGAAATCTCTGTACCATGCACTCAATTTTGCTGTGAGCCTTAAACTGCTCTAAAAAGGAAGTTAATTAAAAATAATAAAAATAAATTAATGTAACTATAGACTATTCTGAAATATAGGTTTATTTAGACTTTTATATATCTAAAGGCATGCTTAGCCAACATTTCAGTGCAAAATGAAGATATTTCCTTCAGTGAACTAAGGAACTGTGAGGAAATAAGACCTTAATAAATTAAGTTGCATTTTATTCCTAATGAATTCAGCTGCCACATCAACCCAAACAGACTTTGTGTCCAAGGGAGCATGTCAAAACATTGTAGCTTTGGTTTATGATTTGTTTTTTCTCTTGGTAATTTTCTTTTCTTTTTTTTTAAGAGTTTATTTACTTATTTTTAGAGAGGGGAAGGGAGGGAGAAAGGAAGGGAGAGCAACATTGATGTGAGAGAGAAACACTGACTGGTCGCCTCCCACACAGCCCCACCTGGGGACGTGGCGAGGCGGCTTGAAGCCCAGACATGTGCCATGACTGAGCATCAAATCAGCGACTTTTTTGTTTGCAGACTAGCACTCAGTCCACTGAGCCACACCAACCAGAGCTCCTCTTGGTAATTTTCATTTACATCCTTGAGTGGCTGGTTGTGTGCAGGAGTGAATATACTTATTTAAACTTTTCGTTGGTTTAATGTGGAACACACTCATTGTCTTGTGGCTGGCATATTGCCCTAAATGGCTTTCAAATTGCCTTTAAGAATATGTACTTATATACAGTGCTTAAGATGTGAGGCATTTAATAAGAAGAATATGTACATAAGGTTCAAACTCCTTGCCTTTATCTCTGCTTTCTGCTTACATCCTTCAGCTGCTCTTGGAATTGTTGTCCTTCACCCTTATACTCAGATCTCTGCAGGGACTCACTGTTGCCTACTGAATCAAGGCTAGACTCTTGACATTCAAGGTTGTCCATAATTTAGCCCCAAGTACATTTCCAGACTCACTGGCCACTCCTCCCTTTTTACCTTGTGCTTAAGCCCTTGCAAGGCACACCCGCAGGTGATGCGCGTTTTCCTTGCTCCAGGCCATGCCTGTGCTGGTCCTGTCCCCTTGGCACCTGCTCCAAGCCAGCAACCTGTGTTCCTGAGCAGGTTTTTGAAGTGCATAATTCCTAATAATTCCTACTTGTTCCAAAGGTATTTAGGAAGAGGATATTCAGGGGACTCTGTACAGAAGTTACCAGTTTTTATCCTACTGAATACACTGGAAAGATCCAAAAGCACACGTTGAGTTGAGGTGTTTGGAAGGACTGAGACCCTGCTGATGCCCCCAGAATGAACAGAGGCCGTAATTCCTCAGGTGTGGCCCCATCGGTATCCTTGCTCTTGGAGGAGCCTAGCTGCATAGTGGCCTTTTTGTCAGTTCAGTCTGTGGAATAGGAGCATGATAGGAAGTTGAACCAATTTGTGAGAACCAGTGGGCGGGCGGATGGGCAGGCAGGCGTGCGTGTATGCGTGCGTGCGTGCGTGCGTGCGTGTGTAGGGTTGAGGGATTCTGATATGTAAATGAAAGAAATAAAACACTAGGTCTTATCTAGTTTGTTTCATCAGCATTTGTACTAGTGTAGAAATACCCTAATTTTCAGTTGAGTAAAAAGAAAAAAAAGTTCTGCTTTCTGAGCTTTTGCTAAGAAAGCATGACCTGGACCAAGGGCTATGATCTAAGTGCAAGTAGCTAGCATGTATCAACTGCTTCTCTGACTAGGGAGCTCTACCTGCAGCACTTCAAGTGGTTCTTCAGTGTAAAGTAGACACATTATAGCCAGTCCTTGTAAATGAGGAAACCAGCTGAGGTAGGGAGGGTAGCTTTCCTCGAGGTCCTCTAGCTGAATACATGGCAGAGCCTTTCCCACACCCAGGCTGTTAAATACCCCAAGCTCATTTACTTAAATAAAGCTCCAGTTTGTTTCTAATGGATAAAACAGGAATCTTCTGATGTTTTAATGCAAAATGCAGTGATTCCCCCTTCTCCCCAGTCTCTGCTAGTGTAGTGGATTGTCCAGGAAGATAGCCATGGTTCTGAAGTGCCCCATGTCCGTGGGATGCCCAGCGCTGCCCAGGCACCGTTTGTCAGGGCTTTGTGCCTTGCCAGGTGTCTCAGCGATCAGAACAGCCGAAAACTGTGCTAGTGCACTTTTCACGTCGTCTTCTGTGTGTGAGGAGCCATGACTTGTGTGTTCATGACAGTTCTTTTTCACAGAACTCTAGATAATTGCTGTTTTATCTGCAGATTAATAACGTGTCTAATCATTACCATGATTATCATACCTTTGTATTTTAGAAGCTAGAATTCACAAATATAAGTAAGTTTTTTCAATCTTTATAACTGTGTTAAACTTGCATATAACTGTTAAAAATGAGTGGTTTTCTTTTTTTAAAAAATGCATTTAAATTTTGGTTTCCTCTTGTGAGCTGAGTTTGAGTCTCTGTCACCAATTGCCCAGTTCCTTGCCGTTACACTTGAATGGGACCGTAAGATGACTTTCCTGAAGCATTTTGCACATCCTGGGAAAATCTTGCTGAGAGACTGAGAACTGAGGTCATCATTCTGCTTTATGGAAACATCAGAGCAATCTCGGTTTTTGCGTCTCTCTTGGGCTCGTTTTATCTACCAGTCTTTTCGAAACATCTTGGAGCAATCACCATGGACGTGGGATTGTCCTTAATATGACTTTATTTGTTTTTAATAGAGGAAATGCATGCCGAAATCTGTTATGCCGAGTGTCTCCTACAGAAAGCAGCACTCACGTTTGTGCAGGTAATGAACCTTTGCCTTAGATCGGTATTGCTGGGGAAGCCTGCCAGTACATGGGAAAAGTGGGGCTCTTCCTATGTCAGTGTTTCAGTTTTTGACTTAGAGCTGAAATGAAAGATATCTGTTATTCTGATAAATTTGGGCTGAAAAAAGATTTCAGGGAGCCTATTCTTATTCAAATGTACTTAGAGTCTGTTTCAGACTTCAGTCTACTGGGAAGCACTGCCTTTTAAAGAAACCCTTGCAAGTACCACCCCTAATTTCAGGAATCTTCTCTGTATGAAAACTGAGCTTCTCTTTCTCTCTGTGCTCGCTGTTATTGGTAGAGCGCTGCACACAGCAGCAGAAGAGGCTTCCTTGGCCATTTCCTTCTTTTACCACATGCTTCAGCAAAGCTCAGTTCTGCATGCATAGAGCCATACTTTTCATGTATACTTCAGATTTTATTTTTCTTCCTCCTCCTACACTCATTCCCCTGTCTTGTTTTAGTTCTTCCTGTAGGTGAGCATTTTTAAGAAGCCACTAAGAAACCATGAATTCTTTTCTCATGGGGTATTTTAATTTCACCTCTCCAGGAACTGTTTCAACAGTACCTTGCCTATTATTGTATCTTCCAGTCCTTCCAAAAAGCATGGATTTTAACATCATGGCCACGTGGGTGGCAGTGATGGATGCAATGGGGCAGCGTGGGGTGGAGATTGTAAAAGGGTAGAAATTCAACTGTAAAATGGAAAATCCTTCTCTATCTCAATGTTTCACATTGTGTTGAGAGATGCTTTTCTCTTTTTTCTGGAAGTTGACCTCTTAGGTTGGGTTTTGGTTTAGTAAAATCGGATCAATCTGGTCTATGACCCGGTTTCCTAAAACCCAACATATTATGAAGGCTGATTGAAAACAAGTCTTACTGCCTGAGTAAACATGCTAGTCACAGAGCATTCAGTTTTTTGTCATGTGTTTCCCAAGTAGGGATTTGACAATCAAATCTGCGATTTGAAGGCTTATTTTACGCTCGGGGCCTTGTACCTAAAGATCCGGGGGATACCCATGGCGCTCCTCTTCCTCATCCCTCCACATTCAGTCAGCTTCACGGTCATGCTTCCTTTACCTTTGGAAGATTTAGCAGCTCCATCTCTTCCTCTTCCTTCTGAATGTAATTGTTCTAGAAAAAGTGCTCATCAGCTCTTCTCCAGACTGCACAGCAACCAAATGGATTTTAACATCTGTCTCTAATTTCTCTTACCTGCAGCTCATCATCCATTGTGCAAATGAACACTCTCTCAAAGATGAGAACCTCACCTTGCCATTTCTCTGCTTCAGCATTTAGTAGCTCTCATGGACTAAAGCAGTGGTTCTGTATTAGAAACAGGGGAGGCTTTTTCACACTAAGTTTGTATCTTCCCCTAAATTCCCGACTCCCCTCTCGCAGATGTCCTCTGGCGGCAGGTTTGTTGCATACTTGAGTGGCATGGCAAAGGGGGCTTTCATACTCCTTAGTCGTTCCCCTCTTTGCTGTAGATTGTGCAACCATGCTGAGTTACACAGCACAGACCGTGAAGCACACCGTGATCTGTAAATGCTTCCTTGTCCTCCCACCTGTTTTCCTTTGCTTGCAGAATTTACATCTGCTTTGCCTTTCTTCACCAGGCCACTTCCTACTCTTTTCTTTTCTTTTCTTTTTTAATGTGTGTGTGCTTTAGGCACTGATACTTCCAGGATACTTTTGTGTATTCCTCATGCCTCGCCGGCTCTCCCACTTTTGTGCTCTCGTGACATCCTGGGCTGCATGTCTCCATCCGTATGCTTTCCCCCGTCCCTTAGCATGTTGCATTGCTTTCATCTAATTTTACATTCAGGTGCCGCTGTTTGGTGAATCATGAAATGAGATATTCTTATTTGAGGCATATTTTAATCTACTTTAGGAAATTCTTTCCTGGCCATTATTGCAACTTGTGCAATCATAAAATTCCTTAAAATATGAAGATAAAAATTTAAATTGCATAGTGAATTTTGTACTTGTTGGTTCTTTTAATAATTGAAATATTAAATATTTAAGTAATTAATGAAACTTGCAAACCTAAATCAGTTTTTGTTTTGCTTCAGAAGGATATTCAAGCGCACAGGAAGTAAACACCAGAGCACCTTTCTGATATTAAGAGATTAGAAAAATATTCTAGAAATGTGAAACATGGGATCATCTCCATTTGCATCATCTATTATAGAGGGTGGGGCAAAAGTAGGTTTACAGTTATGAATATGTGAAACAGAGTTTATTCTTGTATTAGTATTTATTAATTATCGTATTATTTTCCATACAAACAACTGTAAGTCTTCTTTTGTCCCACCCTGTAGTAACTTCCTTCAAGCAGTTATTTGATATACTTTAATAAGAGACTGTTTTGAAATCCTAACCCTGAAAATAGTATTCATTTAGGCCAATTGCCTCAATTTTATGGTTGATGACCATTAGGCAAGAGAAGTGTTGTCATATTAGTGACAACAAATTTAGAATCCAGAACAGGTATTTTTAGTGTGGAAATGTATGTAAATGAAATTCACAATGTCAAATAGACTGTGCCTGCTAAAATATCCTGGGAAAAAAGAACTGTAATCCTATTTACTGGAGTACATCTGGACAGGGACAGGAAAGCTAGGCCTTAGGAGCATATTAGTAAAGCCGACCATTTTAGATTCCAGAAAAAAGTTGCTCAGTAGATGATAATGCTTATTAAAGTAAATTTGGACTAACGTATATGGCTCTTAATTGGTGAGGATTATTTCTTTAATTACTTCCTTAAAGTAATTCAAGGATTTTAAAAATGTTTCCTTTTTGTTGTCCTCTAACTTTGAAGAAAAATGACAAGAAAATTTTTAAAATGTAAAACAAGAATGTTTTAATTAAAAAATTATGTACTCTAAAGAATGAATCTTGTTTAATTATACAACTACGTAACTGTGGGGAAAGTTTAAGAAACTCTTACTAAATGATCTAATTATTTAATTGAATTGTTTTCAGGATGAAAATATGATCAACTTCATCAAAGGTGGACTCAAAATTAGAACAAGTTACCAAATATATAAGTAAGTTAAAAATTAAGATATGGGCTTTTTAAATCTTATAATTGGAAGTTTGTTCCTTTTTGACCACAGTCATGGGTTTTTAAAGGATTCCTATACTATGTACCACTTAGTACTTCAGAATTCTCATTAAGTATGACTAGGTTTTTTTATATTTGGCATTGGTAAACATACACTTGATTTTTGGCTTACTGAGTCTGTATTCAATGCTATAGGACAACAGAATTTAAGTTTAAATGCAATTTTAAAGGAAAATAGCTGAAAAATGACTGACAGTTTATGATGAGATAAACTTAGTGTCCCTCTTCTGAAAACAATATCTAAATTTAAAATGACAGGTACGTCTTTGGTCCAGCCTCTAGAGTAGCATTGCCCAATAGAATTTTCTGCAGTGATTCAAATATTCAGTTAAGGTAGACAGTGGTGGTTTTCATATCTTCTATATCCTTTCTGATTTTTATCTCGTCGTTTTATCATTTACTTACAATGTTAAAAATCTCCAACTCTGATTCTGGAGTCATTTATTTCTCTAGAATCTTTGGTTATATCAGCATTTGCTTTATATACTTAAAACATTTGTTTTTAGGCTTATATATATTTTACTTGCCTCATCTTTCTAATAAATTAACCTTTTTATGATTATGAAATATCCCTGCTTGGATCCTTATAATATTCCTTGTCTTGAAATCTGTGTTGTCTGATATTAATACATCTATTCATGCTTTTTTAATGATTAGTGTTTGCTTGCATATATTGTTTTTACTTTAAACATATCTTTTTATATTTAAATTACATTTCTTGTAGATGTACATAGTTGTATCTTGCTTTGTTATTCTCTATGACACTACATTTGCACTAGTGACTACCATTTTGTTTTTTTCTCTTTGCCTCATTTGTTTCTCACCTTGTTTTGCTTTAATAAATTAAAAATATATGCATACATATATATTTCAGTATAATCCCTCTATTTTCTTAGTTATATAGCAATCTTTAATTTTTTAATGGTTGCTCTGGTTATTACAATATTCTTCTTATCACTATCAACTTAGGGTTAATATTGTACCTTTGCACATAAAATATAAGAACTTTGCAAAAATGTAGTTTCATTTACCACCTGTTGTCTTTTATACTATTTTTATTATAGTATATGTATGTATATTTTAAACCCCACAATGTAGTGCCAAATTTTTTGCTTTAAACAGTCTTATGTTTTGTCTTCTTTATTACCCATCTATCTACCATTTTTCATGTTCTTCACTCATTTCTGTATACTTTCAGACTGAAGAATTTCTTTTAGTATTTCTAGTACTGTATGTTTGCCTTCAAAAACAGTTCTCTTTGTTTCAATTATTTGAAAATGTTTTTATCTTTGCCTTCATTTTTGAAGGATGTGTTTTGCTCAGTATAGTATTCTGAGTTACAAGGATTTTTTTTTTCCCTTTTACCCCTTAAAACTGTCAATCCATTGTATTATGGTCTCTTGTTTCTGATTAGAAGTCAGCTGTTATTTGTATTATTATTTCCCTCCCTGGCTGCTTTGAAGGCTCTTTCGTATCATTGGTTCTTAGCAACTTGGCTATGAAGTGCATAAGTGTGACTTTGACAAATTTGTGGCCATTATTTCTTCAAATATTGTTTTCTGCTCCATTCTTATGCTTCTCATTCTGAGACTGGAATTACATTGTTAGCCTGATTTTGTTTAATAGGTCATCTAGGTGCTGCTCATTTAAAAAATTGATTTTTTCCTGATTGGATATTATCTCAACATCTGGGCCATCATGGGGTTCGTATCTATTGCCTGCTTTTTCTCTTGACTATATGTCATATTTTTATATTCTCATGTAAGTAATTTTCTAATTGTACACTAGATATTGATACATTGTAGGGACTGTAGGCTCTGTTACCTTTCTAAAAAGTGTGCTGATTTTTGTTCTAGGAAGCATTTAACTTGACTAGACAGACTGCAAACCCTTACTCTCTAGTAGTGGGCAGCACCTGAAATCTTGGTTACATTATTTTTTCTGTCTTGTTTCTGCTTTTCTTTGAGTCTCCTCAGTGCTCACATAGTTCACGGGTCAGCCAGGAGTTTGAGTGGAGCTGGTGTTTCTCTCTTATGTGGTTTTCCTCTATCTGAAAATTTACTTTTTAAGCCAGTAAGACTGTGAATTCCTGTATAAGATCTTGGCACCATACATTGAGCAGACTGAGGAGTACTTTCAGATAACTAGTCATATAAATATAAAGCCCACTCAGGTGTTCTGTTAAGAAAGTCAACTCTTTCCCTAGCTTCTGGCTACTTTTTTTTTCATTTTCCAGTGCCTGCAAACATATTTAAAATATTCTGAATTTTTCCTAGAGTTTAATAATTGTTATCTGTGGGAGGGTTAACCTAATATAAACCACTGTGCCATTATTAGAAGCAGATCTCCATTAGTGGAAGCAGAGCCAGTATTTAGTATTTTAAGATGAACTTTTATCCCAAGTGATTTTATAACATTATATTCCATTCAGAAATCCTGGAGAGGGATGGATTTTGGGATCCTGACATGCTGTTTAGTTTTCCTTTCAAAATATTTTTAGGATATATAAAAGAATGTTAGAATTGATTGCTTCTTGTCATCAAAACTTAAAAAAAAACTGAAGAAATTAAAATACTCTTAGTAGCACAGGCACATATGTCAGTGGAATGGAATGTAGGGTTTTAAACCAGATACATTGTGTGCACATATGTACATACACACACTTGTGTGTACTACAATATACTGAATTCCTGTATGTACACAGATCTCTTTCAAAACAGTGGAGAAAGATGAGTACTGTAATAATGGTTTTGGGAAAATTGGTCTTCATTTTGGAAAAAAAGACTATATAAAAATAAATTGATATAGATTTAACATTAGAATATTTTTAATAAGAGTACTAAAAGAACAAAGGAAAGTATTTTTTATAGCCCTGAAGTAGAAAGGCCTTTAAACTTCTGTTTTATTTTTTAATTTTTTGCTTTAAAATAACTTTAGAACTTTTATAAACAATTTTCAGATATTCTTCACTCAGATTTACAAAAATTAACATCTATGGAACTGCAGTATAATTATTAAAATCAAGAAATTAACATTGACTTAATATTATTAACCACTCTATTGATTTCACTCAATTTTCTCTAACTGTCCCACCAATGCCCTTTTTCTGGTCCACATTCAAACCAGGATTCTGGATGTTTCATGTAGTTGTTATGTCTCCTCAGTCTCTCTTAATCTGGGAGAGTTTCAGTCTTTCTTTGTCTTTCATGACCTTAATATTTTTTGAAGAATATTGGGCAGTTAATTTGTGGAACATCTCTCAATGTAGACCTGTCTTATGTTTCTTCATGCTTAAATTCAGGTTTTGCATCTATGGCAAGAATACCAGAGAAGGGATGTTGTGTCCTTCTCAGTACATCTTATCATTAGTCCATGGTGCCAATTTCAGAAGCCTTCTTAAGCATGACATAAAATCAGAAATTATAAATGATTGACTTCACCACATAAACATTTAAATTTTCATCATGACAAAGTACACCATAATAAAAAACACAAATGAAAAGTGATGTTAGTGATTGACGGCAGATGGCAGTGTGAGACACTCATAGGTTGGTGGGGATTTTTCTGGAGGAAGTCCTGGCAGTATATATCAAAATCAAGAATGTGCATCACCTTTGATCTCAGAAGTTCATTTTCTAAGAGTTTATCCTAAGGATAATTAGGATAGTGTTAACTATAGTTATAGTACTATAGGAAAAGGCATAGGAAAAATACTTGATGAATGTATGGGAACACTCTGAGCAGCATGGTTTATAATGTGGAAAATTTGAAAATAAATATTTAAGAGTAGGAACTTGGTAAAACAAATTATTTTATAGAATGGAATAATATGCACTTGTTAAAGAATAAGGTAGCTTTCAGATTGCTGACTTCTGGTCAAGATGGAGGTGTAGGTAAACATGGCTTGCTTTCTTGCACAACCACAGCAAAAATTAAAACTAAACTACAAAACAACTGTCACCCAGAATTGTCAGGAAGTCGAGCTGTATGGAAATCTGACAGCCAAGGAATTGAAGAGGGCACATTCATCCAGATGTAGAAGAGGCAGAGACGCAGAGATGCAGAGACACAGACACTCAGACACTGCAGAGATGTGGAATGGGCAGTCCCCCACCCAGGTGTGGTGGATAAAAATTGGGAGGGCTACATCGGGAGTGAGGGATCCCAGCCCCACATGAGACCACCCAGCCCAGGGTTCCAGTGCCAGGAAGATAAGTCCCCATAACTTCTGGCTGTGAAAACCGGAAGGGGTTGGGACATCAGAAGAGACTGCAGGATTCTCAGCCTTCTCCTCTTAAAGGGCCCGCAACGGACTTAGGACTTACAGAGACTTACTTCCTCTGGGACCCAGCAGCTAGAAGGGTACCAGTGACATACAGGGAGGAACTGAAGTGTCTGGCATCAGGGCAATTGTGGAGGTAGAGCTTCCTTCTGGATATAACCCCAGAGGCCAGGCAGCGTCCATCGTCCCTTTTCTGAGCTCTCCCTCACAGAGAGCCACAGAGTGGCAACACCATATCTGAGACTCCATCAATCTGGTTCACACAGGTTGCCCTGCCCTAGCGATTACCTAAGGCTCTGCCCCATCCAACTTACCAGTGTGTTTTTCTACAATAGACCATGCTACTATGACAGGGAGTCAAAGCAGCTCTACCTAATACATAGAAACAAGCACAGGGAGGCTGCCAAAATGAGGAGACAAAGAAACATGGCCCAAATGAAAGAACAGAACAAAACTTCAGATAAAGAACTAAAAAAAAATGGAGATAATGCAATCTATCTCTATCAGATGCAGAATTCAAAACTGGTTATCAGGGTGCTCGAGGAACTCTTTGGGTACTTCAACAGCATAAAAAAGACTCAGGCAGAAATGAAAGTTATAGTAAGTGAATAGAGAATACTTTACAGGGAACCAACAGTGGAGTGGATGAAACTGAGAATCAAATCAATGGTTTGGAACATAAGAAAGGAAAAAAACATTCAATCAGAACAAGAAGAAGAAAAAATAGTGCAAAATAATAAGGATATGCTAAGGAGCCTCTGGGACAACTTCAAATATACCAACATTCTAATCATAGGAGTGCCAGAAGGAGAAGAGGAAGAGCAAGGAATTGAACACTTATTTAAAAAAGTAATGAAAGAAAACCCCTAATTTGGTGAAGGAAATAGACATACAAGTCCAGGAAGCACAGAGAGTCCCAAACAAGTTGGATCCAAAGAGGACCACACTCCAAGACACATCAGAATTAAAGTGCCTAAGGTTAAATATAAAGAGAGAATCTTCAGAGCAGCAAGAGAAAAGCAGAGAGTTACCTACAAAGGAGTACCTGTAAGACTGCCAGCTGATTCTCAGAAGAAACTTTGCAGGCAAGAAGGGACTGGCAAGAATATTCAAAGTGATGAAGAACAGGGACCTATAACCAAGATTACTGTATCCAGCAAAGCTATCATTTAGAAATGAAGGGCAGATAAAGTCCTTCCCAGACGAGGTAAAGTTAAAGGAGTTCATCATCACCAAGCCATTATTACATGAAAAGTTTAAAGAACTTATTTAAGGAAAAGAAGATCAAAACTATGAACATTAAAATGGCAACAAACTCACAACTATCAACAACTGAATCTAAAAAACATACTTAGCAAACAAGCAAACCAGGAATAGAATCGTAGATATGGAGATCATTTGGAGGGTTATCAGCTGGGAGGGGGAAAGGGGGAATGGGGGAAAAGGTTGAGGGACTAAGTACAAACTGGTAGGTACAGAATAGACAAGGGGATGTTAATAACAGTATAGGAAATGGTGTAGCCAAAGGACTTAATGCATTACCCAGGGACATGAACTAGGGGCATTGCAGGAGGGAATTGGGTGTGCTGGGTGGAGGGGGTGGAGGAGGGCAAAGAGGGAAAACTGGGACAACTGTAATAGCATAATCAATGAAATATATAAGAGAAAAAGGTAGCTTTCATGCATTTTCATGGTAACTTGTTAATATAACCTATAGAACAGTGTATACTCTATGATCCCACTTGTGTCTTTTAAAATTGCTTTCTTAATAAAGCATGAAAACATCTAGAAGTTCATGTATGAGGCTGTTAATAGTGACTAAGTCTTTGCAGGGTGGTTTTGTAGGGACACTTATGCTGTCTCCATTTTGTTTGAAAATTCTGTAACAATCATTAATTACAGCAAATAGAACATTTACATTTTGATTAAAAATGGAAGAACTCTGCCATCCTTTTGATGTTTTGACATTTGGATTTTTATGCATGTATCTAAGCATATGTAATTATCTTTTTATATAACGAAATTACATGCTTTCATTTTTAAATTTTTGTTTTTACTTTATATCAGAAAATTTTAGGTCATAAAATACTTTTAATTTATCGTGGCTTTTAACGACTGCATAGTATTCCATTATGTGAATGTACTACATGTGTATATATAAATGTGTGCATTGATGCACCTGTATTCTTAACTAATTTCCTGGTGTTGCCTGTTTAGTTTGTTTATGAAATTTCATTATACATAAGTAGTACAGTACCTCTCTTTATAAGTAAGGTTTTGTGTGCATCCATGCTATTTCCTTAGAATAAAATTGGATTTGCTGGGTCAAAGATACGCATTTGTTTAAGATTTTTGATATATACTACAAAATCATTCTGAAGAATAATTCTATTGGTAAACTTTTTCTTAAAGGACCAGATAGCAAGTGTTTCATACTTGTGGGGACATAAGATTTCTGTTGCAACTACTCAACTCTATGACTGACATGTTTAAACAGCCATGGACAATAAGTAAATTAATGGGTGAAGCTATATCCCAATAGTGAGCCAACCCCTGCCCTATAACATTTTATCAGACATAGGTGAATGTATCTATTTGTTCTTACCTTTGCAAGCCCTAGTTTTTTCCTTTCATAATTAAAATAATGCTTTATTATCACAAAAGTGGCATATATATTTTAGAAAATAGGAAAATGTAGATAAGTAAATATTAAAACACACACACATACACCCCCCCCACCCACCCACCCCTGTATTCTCTTACCAGTCAGCGATTGCAGTTGTTAACACCTTAGTATATGTTTTAAAGAATAATTTTATACAAATCTAAAGATATATGTATTTTTTAACCAAAATGAGATCACACTGTACATACTCTTTTGTAAACTGCTTTTTTGAGTTAACGGTCTTTACTTCATGTCAGTAAATCTTCATTCATGTAATACCTAGTTCATCTTTAAATTTTATAGTTGGCCCCAAATTTCTTTTCCTGATGGTATGTTTGCACCAGGATTCAACCCAAGACTGTCTCGTGCACAGCTGATGTTTGTGTCCATTAAGTAATATTTTATTTTAAAAGACTCTATATTTATGACAGCTGTTGAAAAGCCCAATCCAGTTATCCTGCAGTATATCCACAGATTTGTGTGGTGGCGTCCTTGAGCTCTCCTCTAACCTGTTCCTTGTTTGAGCTCAGGCTGCCATTACAAAATACCAGAGACTGGATGGCTTAAACAACAGAAATTTATTGGAAGTCCATGATCAGGTTCTGGAGCAGACTCTCTCCTTGGCTTGCTGACAGTCACCTTCTCACTGTGTCCTCACAAGGCAGAGAGAGTGTTACTTCTTTTTCTTCCTCTTCTTATAAGGCCACCTTTCTTACCAGATTAAGATACCACTTAACCAGATTATAACCTCACTTAACTTCAATTACCCCCTAAAATCTCTGTTTCCAAATACAGTCACACTGGATGGTTAGAGTGTCAGCATACGCATTGGGGGAGAGGGGTACATAATTCAGTTCATAGCCCTTTATATTTCCTGTAAACTAGAAGTAAGAGCTACAGGATCACTAGATTCAGGTTAAATACATTTGGCTTGAATATGCCATAAATGAGGGTGCATGCTGTATAATTACATCACACCAGATGATCTATAATATCTGGTTATTTCTTAATACGTTTAAAAATATATTTGTTGCCCTGGCTGGCGTGGCTCAGGGATTGAGTGCTGGCCTGTGAACTAAAAGGCCGCTGATGAGATTCCCCGCAGGGGCACATGCCTGGATCGTGGGTCAGGTGGTGGGAAAGGCAAGTGATCGGTTTCTCTTGCATGTTGATGTTTCTCTCTCCCTCCCATCCTCTCTCTCTAAAAATAAAAAACAAATAAAATCTAAAAAATATGTATTTGTAAATTTGATAAGCAGTTCCTGGTTATTATTAATTTTTATATATTTGTCATTGTGTTTAATTTGCATTTCTGTTTTGAAGATGTGAAGGGAAAGGGAGAAATGCATAGGAAAGGTATTAAAGTGAGAAAAGATTTGCTTGGATGGAACAGGATAAAATGAGGACAAATGGGGCCGTTGCGATGGAATTTGCTTTCCTCTTTCAGTCTTTCCTAGTCACAATCTCTACTTCATTTGGTCTGCTTGAGACCGTGGCAATCACACTGAAATTCGTATTTTTTGTCAGTAGCATCTCAGTTACTTGGTGGAAGTTAGGGCATCTAATGTGTGCATGGCAGCTGAGGAACGGACCACACCTAGGAAGTCCCCTTCGCCACATTACTGGGAGATGGTGAGATCCCAGTGCTGCAGTCCCGTGTCTCCGGAGCATATGTGCTGGTGTTTGAACCCTCTCTTGCTTTAAGCCCAGAAGGATTGGTCCTGATGAACAGTGAGAAATGGGTGTGTTGTTTTCCTTAATGATAATTACCCAGTAGCCTTAAGAGCAAAAGTCAGCACAGCAACATCCATTTAAATTTTCTTTCATATTTTGGCTAATGATAATTACTTTATGGTATGTAGCATGAGATTTGACTTAATTGTTTTCAGAGTCATAGTAAACTTACCCTATAACTTTTTTCTTCAATCCAGAGAATGCCTTTCTCTCCTGCATATAATTCAGAAGAACAAAACTGAGCAACAGTTCTTCTATGAGTTTGAAGGGGGTGTCAAACTTGGAATAGGGGCCTTTAATTTGGTAAGTAAATAGTTACATATCAACCAGAATCTTTTGCAAAAGGATCATAGGTTTTGAGTGCCTTCTGTACTGCATTTGAACCTCATCCTGAACCCCTGTCTGGGTTTGGTTGCTAAGTGGCTAGAGTGGGATCAGTTTTCTTTTGCTGTGAGCCAGTGGGGGCTTTGGTCGGTATGTGCTGTGAAGTCCTGCACATGCTCAGAATAGTTGTGGATTGTACAGCAAGGGAAGCATACAGCACTCTGAACAGACTAGTAACACTTTTTGGTAGCAAGGATCTTGGAATCCAGTTTCATTTCACATCTGAGACCTTGCCATAGTAATGGTGGCTCTGGAATTGAAAATAGGTGAAGGAGTGATACAACTTGGGGAACAGTTTTGATGCTCTGGGAGAGACGAAGCATTTGAGTAGATATCTGTCAAAATTGTGATATAGTAGACATTTTGAAATTTTATTAAGATTGGACTGGAATTCTTGAGAAGATAAACTGGTGAAGGGAGTTATATGCGTGAGAGCGTATGCCACTGTGGCCACTTTGTTCGTGAGCCCATTGGTTGCTGACAGAGGTGGCTGAGCAAAGAGACTGACTACTGTCCACAGAATGGGCCACCCTGTCTACTTGATTATTAAAATACTCCTGTGCTGAGGTAAGCCTTTAGTGAGCATTCAGAGGGGACACAAATATCTTCATGTTTTTTGCCCATTCAGAGAGGCCTCTCCACACACCTCGTCCCCAGAGCTTCTTGTCATCAATTTTCCCATCATGTTCTTTCCAAATCCCTGACCATCCAACCACACCATTGGCTACAGCCCATGAGTTGGTATATAATCACACACGTGGCCATTCCCCCCCGCCGCGGCCACCCCGCCCCCCGCCCTGAGCAAAGCGAACAGCCAGGCACAGGGCTCAGCATGGCGCACGGGGATGATTTCCCTTTCCCACGACTCTTCAGGGAGGTCTCCGAGGGGGCTGTGGTGCTGCAACTGGCCACTCGAGGTGGTGCTGCATGTCACGCGGACACAGCAGGCTTTGCTTTCTGCAAGAGGATGCTAAAAGAAACCTTGTTGGAAAGGTGGGCACCGAGGAATTGCCTTCTCATCGTTTTATCATGACACATGAAAGGAGCAAGAATTCTTTAGGGCATGCTGAAAAGGCCAGGCTTGTCTTTTTTAAACTTCTTTTTTTTCCAGGTTATTGTCTTAGCTAAATGAACTTACAAGAAGTTATTACAACATGTGCTATATGTTATGATTGAGACATGTCTAGTGATTTAAAGTTGCTTCTAATTTTTTATATTAGTGAATCATTAAAACTTTTTGTTTGGAGTTTAACATTTACCTACAGTTAGATACACTTAACATGTGAGTACATTCGTGTTTTTTTTTCTTACAGATGCTGTCCCTTTTACCAGCACGGATTATCAGACTACTAGAATTTATAGGATTTTCTGGAAATAGGGTACATATATAATTTTATTTTAATTTTGACAGCAAAGATACATTATTTATTGAATATTAGAGTAATGCAACATGTACTCATGACTAATGTGACAATTGTTGGCAATTTGTTTGCAGGACAATAAAAAACCATTGGTCCTTGATCATATTTTTCAGGAGATAAGAGATGATTTTTCTACTGAAAGTTAAAATTTTTTGTCTTTGTTACCTAAAATCTGGGATTAAAATTTTATTTTACTGATAAAGAGTGGGGCAAAAGTAGGTTTATAGTTGTTTCTATGGAAAAGAATACAGTAACTACAGTAACATAATAATAATACAAGAATAAACCCTGTGTTTCATGTAGTTACAACTGTGAACCTCCTTTTGCTTACCTTGTTGGACATTTAATGTACTTGTATGGTTCAAATTTGCTTCCTTAACATTTTTGCATCCCTAGAGTCTCCTTTAAAACCAGGAAATTGGCTAGATTTCTAAATCTAACATTTTAACACTCATATGGATCATGTGTAGTTGCATTATTTTGGGTTTCCTTGTTTTTACAAGCTTCACTATAAAACTAAGCAAGGAAATTTGTTCACATGAGTGTTGCTTATTGTATTTCAGTGTGGTTATTTTTGTAGTGTATAACATTTATTAATCTTAATAATCAATATGCTGTTATCAGAGTCGCCTTGTTGTAAAAGCTATCCCTGTTAGTTATAAGAGCAGGTTTTAAGAAATGTATGAAAACAGGTACAAGAACCTGTAATTTTTTCCCTAATTTATTTTACAAATCCAGGTTCTTCATAAGCTATTATGTGTTTATGCTGATCTCTACACGATATGTTCTATTTATTTAGATTCTGTATTTAATGATTACTCTTCCCCTTGACTATTCATTTTTCATGTGGCACTCACTGTATTCTAATAAAATGATGTGTTCATATACTGTCTTCTCTATTTGATGGAAAGCTCTTTGAAGACATAGGACCATATTTGTTCATACCCACCATAGTGCCTTCCACTTAGATCCTCAATTTTTAATAAATTCATATTTATATCAGAGAAATATAGCATTTCTATAAAGTGAGCTCTGCTTTTCTTTTCTCCCTAGAATCACGTGATATAAAAGAATTTGTAAGATTGTTTTTATGCCCAGTTAGGAATTCCGACTCTTCTAAGCTCTTGAAAAATAAACTCATCTTCATGGAGGGAGGGGATAAATGAACTAGCATTTTAAAGCTTCGAAATATGAATTTTCAGTCATGGTCTTCACATTCTAAAATGCGTTTAATTCCCTCAGGAACTGGGCCTCCTGCAGCTACGAGAAGGTGCCTCAGGAAAAAGCATGAGGTCTCCACTGTGCTGCTTAACTATATTATCTTTTCATACTTACATCTCCCTAATACTTGGTAAGTACTGGATTCTCTTTATGTTATTGACAGTTGATTATCTTTTATCTGAGTAAGTAAAAATTTAGAAAAATAAGTGAGCACTAGTAATCTATAGGTTTATTTATTTACTTATGTATTTATAAGTAAAGATGGAAAATAGTGACATTTGTCATAGTAACATTTGTCACGGGGAAGGTTTCTTTGAAATTTTTATCTGTTCTTAGCTAAATAATTCTGTGAAACTTGTTTAAGGTGATCTATTTTAGCATCATCATATTAGATTTCTTTTTACATTGAATTTTGGGTTAAAATAAGATAATATTGCTATTAAAACCAGCAATTCCAATGAGGAACCGAAGACAGCCGCTTCCATTCTTAAGAATTAGTCTGTCTTAGAGCCTCCCTAAAATGGAAGTCGCAGATGAGACTTACTTTGTTTTCCAAATGTAAAAATGACAAATTAACAGTTTTCATCTTTTTCATGAATATGCCTTTGCTATACTTTAATGAAATTTGGAGAATTAATGATAAGTATCTACTACGTTTCATGAAGACTGAGGCTCTTCTGTTAAATTTCTAGGTACAGGAGAGGTGAACCTTGTGGAAGCAGAGAGTCTCCTCGCACCCTTCCTCCAGCAGTTTCCAAATGTACGCCTAGAACTTCAAGCGCTTGTTTCAACCATAATCAATCGACTGGGTTTGACTATTGAACAGTGTTCTTCCTTCCTTCACAGGGCTCACTCATGTTGTTTTATCATGCCCGAATAGAGCTGCTGAAAGGGAATGTAGAAAAGGTAATTTACGGGGGCGGGGGTCATTTGGGGAGCTGTCTGTATGGTAGAGTAGCATCACATACTCATTCAACATAAGTAAGTTTGGCTATATGCACTTGACAGAAACAAAGAAAAAATCCGTAATTAAAAAGCCAAACTTAAATTTTGTATGTTTATTCTATTAAATGTAGTAGATTACTGGTTATAGTCTGCACATAAAGTACATGAAACAATTCACAGTAGAGTATACAAAATACAGATGGACCATTTAAGGGGTTTTTCAAAAGACTTGACTATTACCCATCCCCATATTATTTATTGACTTTGGAGTCTGGCCCTGCATAAGAGGCAACTTCACCGTATTACATGTATGCTTCTCATCAAAGGAAACTATCCACTAATTCCCTTAAGAAGATGAAAAGCCTTTTATATAAATATCCTCAAAAACAATTTTCTTCTGTACAAATGGAGGTCAAACATGTATTTTCCTTTGTTTTATTTCTTTCTTTCTACTTACAATACACCTTGGATTTCTTTCCAGATGTATCTAAATTTCACTCATTTGTTTTGATGTCTGGGCTCCATTACTTGGGGTGGATGCACTGTACTTGTTAAAGCAGTCCACCATTGGTAGGGGTTTGGCCGCCATAAACAGTGCTGTCATAAACATGATGATGTGTGTGTTTTTGTGCATAGATGTGTATGTGTGCATGCGTGTGTATGCCATTCTGGTCATTAGGATTTTTAGGTCAAAGATGTTTACGTTTTGATAAATTCTGACAGATTGCCCTGTTAAAATTGCTCCACTTAAACTTTTATAAAGATATAAGAAAACTTGTTTCCAGTGCTCTTTGTCCACTCTGGACATTATCTGTTTTATTTTTGCCACTACCTTGACTGAAAAATGATAACCTATTTTTTAAGTTTATATTTTTCAGTTTGCAGATGTTTTCATATGTATATTTATTACTTGTGTAACTTTCTAATTTGCCTATTCATCTTTGACAATTTTCCCATTGAGTTTTTTGTCTTTTTCTAGAAGATTTGATAAAAATCGTTGTATGATAAAGGTTAATTTTTTGCCAGTTATGTAGGTGGTGATATCATCTCCCAGCCTGTTCATTGCCTGTAATTTTCATTGCCTTTAATTTTGTTTAAGGTATATTTTACCGTCTGAAACTTCTGACGTTTATCATCAGTCTTTTCTTAAAGGATTTCTACATTTTATATCTTACTTCTACATTTTATTTCTACATATTATAACATCTCTATTCCCACATTATAAAGTTTCACTACCCCCTAATAAAGTTAACCAAAGAGGCAGAAATTAACTGTATCATTGCACGTAAAGAAAGAAACATAGCATCATATTGAGTGGTTTAATGAGTGATGATTTTGTACAAAGTATTTTATGTATTTTCCCATTAGGTTATTATCTACTTGTATAATATCTGGATGATCAGCTTTATGCAATTGACTTATAGGCACAAGAGATATTTCGAAAATGCATTTCAGTTCAAGAAGAATGGAAACAGTTTCACCATCTCTGTTACTGGGAGCTGATGTGGATTAATATATACCAACAAAACTGGATGAAGGCATATTACTATTCAGACCTGCTTTGCAAAGAGAGTAAATGGTCCAAGGTAAAGTGCAGTGCTTTTTATTAATGTCATCTATTTGCTAATAAGTATACAGGATTTATTAGGACTGTTTGTGTAATAGTATGATATCAACATGATTTTCTCAACTTAGAGGTCTGTCAAAGGAGGAAATGTACAGTTAGTACCTCTTGTTTATAAACACTGTCCTCAGCACTGCATACTTGAAAATCCATTCAGAGTCCTTTTCAACAGAGGCTTTATCTCTGAAGATCAGCTGTACTTATATTTAAAAGTTATTAACTATCAATAGCTTTGATAATTTTTTTTGACTTTCCAGTGCCCTGATTACAAAGGTTTTCAAAATAATTAACATTGATTCTTATCCATTTGTCAAAAGTTGGGAGGAGCAAGATAATGATCTCTTATTCATTTTATCCGTTTTCTCGCCCATGAAAAGTATAGTTGTGTAACAGGAAAATGGTCAGAATTAAGTGAAAAGTGTTCATCTCATGTGGAACAGGCAATATAAGACTTCATTTTCTTTTATTTCTTTTATGCCTCTTAAATAATATATCTGGAAGATTTGTAGGTCATTCCTGACGGCAGAGCGGAAATATCACGTACCTAGAGATCTTCTGTAACTATATGATTTTTTTCTCTTCCTCAAGGCAACATATGTATTCTTGAAAGCCTCAATTTTGAGTATGCTTCCGGAGGAGGAAGTGGTAGCAACTAATGAGAACGTGGTAACTTTATTCAGGTAAGCAATACACTATTTCTGTAACCAAGACTTTGAAAATATAGAGGAGCACACAAATACATCTTATTTCTTTTTCTTTAGTGCTCTCCCATGCTTCCCCTTCATATTTCTTCATCTACTTATTTAATACAAGAACTCTGAAAAAATAACAATTAGCTAAGAGTCAAATGTCATCCTTTTAGCAGGATTTTGCAGATTTGCTGGTGTGACTGGGAATTTTAAGAACACATTATTTTTTGTTTTGTTATTGGGGCTTTGCTACTGCATTTTGAACAGTTTCCTAAAATGGTATTGTTAGTAAAAGGTGTTAATTATTGTTGTGAATCAAAGGTATTCTGTGATCAGATAAACTTGAGAAACACGGTATAACATATCCTTAGTTTTCATTAGTATGTCAAAGATTCTGAGAAGCTCTTCTGTGAAGTAATCTGTTCAACTTTGTTTAGACCAGTATCCATCCATCCATCCATCCATCCATCCATCCATCCATCCATCCATCCGTAACCTTTTTGTTGAGCATGTACTGTGTGAAGAGTACTGTTAGGTGCTGAATGAATAGGCATGGCTTCTGTCCTTGTAGAGTTTATAATCTTGTAGTGGAACTAGACATAGTGAAATAATCACACAAATAATTGCAAAATTACAATACATGACTGATTTTTTCCCTCATACTTCTCTCATCATTTCTTCTTAGTATCTTTGTAGACCCATCCTACTTTAACCAGCTATTAAATATTGATGCTTTTTATTTCAAAGGTCAGTCTCCACATTAGGAAATCTCACCCCAGCCAAATTTATATCTTTAGTTTAGACCTCATGACTGAGCTCCAAACCCCTAGATCTACCTCCCATTTGCACCTTTACTTGGATATGTCAAAACACTTTAAACCCATCGTGTTCAGCCTTCCCTTGAAATCTAGTGTTCTTTCTCTCAGTGATTGGGACCACTACCCACTGCCCCCTCATTCCCTGAAGGGAGAAGAGGTATGTATAAGAGTGTAGAAGGAATGACGGCTGAGACGAGGTGGGAAGCGGAGTAGAGGCTGCAGAGGCAGTGGGCCAGTGTCATGATGCAGGTTCAGACCACAGGAGCAGCATGTGAGGGGTCTGTTGCCGGACCCCTTGTCAGAACCTGTTGCCGGAAGAAGCACCACACACTTAAAGAACTAAAACAAAGTTGATATTTGACAGGACATGATGCTACATTTTTCTACATATGGGTCAAAGGGAAAGAATTTTCAAAGATTACTCAAAAATGTCCCACAGAACAAGAATTCCATTTAAAAATAAGACAAAGTGTGTATTTAGTGACACAGAGATTATTTATTGGTAACCCTAACACGAGCTGATAGGTAATAGAATGGAAGTGGAAACCCCATTGGAGTTGGCTATAGAATGAATGATAATTGAGCATAAATACATCCCTGGACAACTTTGAATTATAAAGGGGAGGGAGAGGGAGAGGGAGAGAAAGAGGAAGTTGGGGGGGTGGGGAGAGAGTTCGAGGGAGATTTAATGTCAAAGTGCATTTTAATGGGAGAGATCTGAGCACTCTGAAAACCACTAGGAAGGATCCAGCTGAGATAGAGAAGTTGCACATGCAAGTGAGAAATGGAATGACTGATATTTGTAAGGCTCCTGAGAAGGCAAGAGGAGACAGAACCCAAGGCACTGACATATCGGAAGGGAAGGGGTAGAGAATGTGCAAAGCTCATGGGTGGTGTTAGGAGATGGAGGTCTTCCTACCTCAGAGCTTCTGTTTTCCTTTATGATGCAGGAGGCAGGATTTTCTATTGAGAGTGAAGAAGGGAAAAGGCTGGAGATCTGAGCGGGATGGAGAATGTTTGAGGTCATTGTTACAGAGTGGGACAGTAACGTGCTGAGAGACATGGTGGGGGAATGACAGGTGGCAGTGTGAGGGCCCATTTGAAATTGGTTCTAATGAATTTATAGTTACAACGATCTGCTCTCAGTGTAGGTGAAACGACAATGGACAGTGAGCTTCATTCAGGGTTGGGTTTCTGCCAGATTAGCGCCGCATTGAGGCAGTGGACAAGGGAGTTAAGGACAGGGCAGTCTCAGCAGCAATATGAAGGGACTGGGAGAAGCTTGAAGGGCAGGCAGACGGAGGTCTTATTAGACAGCCAAGTTAGAATGAGGAGATGGATGTTCACAGGAAGGTATGCTTGAATGTATGCTTTAAGGGAGGAAAGGTACAAGTGATGAAGTGGTCTAGGACTGTAAGGGTGGGCAGCTGTGGTAAAAAGCAGAGAACCAGTGGAGATGAGAGAGGTAAGGAGTGGAGAAACCCCACTACATTCTTCAAACATAATTGATGACAAAACTATTTAAATGGAATATAATTTTCTGTGACCACGTTATGAGAAATAAGGTCTTAGGTGAACCCTCAGACTTATCAGAACAAATTTGAAGGTATGACCAGAAACATTTTTTTGGTCTTCTTTTTAAAAGCTCTTTGTCAAAACAGGACCGTGTTTACTAACTACATGAACATCAGTAGAAGCCATGGTATGATAATGTGCTCTTACTGGTCAAATGCACTTTCTCATTTCACACAAACTACTCATGTGATGGAATGGGATATTAAGATACATTGAAATCTTTTACATCACCTTCTGTTTTCTCCACTTCAGGATCCTTTTTTTTTTTTTTGGTATCAAAACAACTTCAGTGAAACATGTAAGCAATCGAATTTTCAAGAGAAAGCCTAAGGTCTGCAGTGTGATAGCATCTAATTTGTTGGGACAATGACAGGAGAGTCCCCAATGAACACTTTCTTCATACACACTCTGTGATCATTAAACCGAGTGGTTGAGTGTCCAGGGCATACTTCTGGCCCCTTCTCTCAACCTTACATTTCCATTGCCTCTTCCACCGAGGTTAATGAACACCAAATCGTGGGCATTCCAGTTAAAAATCATATCCCCAAATTGTGCCCAGAAGTTACCTAGCACAACCTTGTCCTCATATTTTTGGAATATCTTTTCTCTTGTATTATCTTTTTCTTTTCATGAATTCTTTCTCAGCAACGTGTTAGATGCATTTACAAATTCATGTACTATAAGAAAGCACTCTAGGAACATGTAATCTCCCCATCCTACTCTCCTTTTTATGTGCTTGTGTGTTTTATAATTGTAATTACTTAGAATTTTGAAAGGAAGTTTGTAAACACGGTGTCTGTCCTTAGCTGATTATTTTCAAAGTCACCCATGCTTAGGAAACATTTTCTCAAATCATACATTAAGGGGCAGTTATCCTTTGACCCACATTATTTTATTGATCTCTGTCAAACTTGCAAATGAGCACAGACAGTGTACCAGCATACTCTCTTACCTCTCTCTCAGTATTCATGATGTAAGTAAATACTCTGAATGTTTTCCTGCTTACTTATGGAAATTTCCAATTTTATATCTAGACTTCCTTTTCTGTGTTTGATAGATCAAGACATCGGCTAAGTTAAGTAGAAGGAAATATATGTCAGTTAGTAGTGTTCAAACTTGAGCATCATCAGAACCTCCTGGCAGGCTCAGGGAACTCCAGACTGCGGGGCCCACCCCTCGGGGTTGCTGATTCACTAGGTTTTGGGGGAGTGTGAAAACTTGTATTTGGAACAGGTTTGCAGGTGATGCTGATGCTGCTGGTCTGGGGAACACAGTGTGAACACCACAGGGGTAACGCATGTCTGTGTTCTAATGGCTTTCGCTGGGGCTCTTCACAGACAGGTGGATAGCTTGAAGCAGAGAATTGCGGGGAAGTCTATTCCTACGGAGAAGTTTGCTGTGAGGAAGGCTCGACGTTACTCCCCCTCGTTGCCTGCACCTGTGAAGCTTGTGTTGCCGGCCCTGGTATCTGCCTTTATTTTATTTGCTGTTTGCATTCTAGAAGTAAATTGTCTATTCATAGAAGCAGGGAGCACACCAAACTTTCCTTCTGAAGTTTAGCTCCATTAAAAACCATTGTGTGTCTATAAGGTGAACATTCATAATTAATAATTAAATAATAAATAATACAGCTCATTTTTTTGACTAGTCGATATATTCCATACACTATGATAAAGACTATTTAAAAATATATTATTTAATTCTTACAGTAACTCCATAGTGTAGTTCCTCTTTGTAACCCCATTTTATAGATAAGGAAATTCAGGCAGAATGAGGTGAGTTGACTTAATTGAAGTTGAGTTGAATTATAATGCAAGCCACATGTGTAATTTTATCTTTTCTAAGAGGCCACATTAAAAATGAAAAGGTAAAAAATTAAAAAGGAACAGGAAACATGAGAATGATTGAAAGGATGTATTTTGTTTAAACCAGTATATGCAGAATGTTGTTGTTTGAACATGTAATCAACAAAAGTTTAATGAGATATTTTGCATCCTTTTATATTGTCCTAATTCTTTGAAACGTGGTATATGTTTCACTCTTAGAGTTCCTCTCAGTTCGGACGAACCACGTTTCCCTGAGAGGCTGGTGGCTGCTCTATCTGACAATGCACTGCTGGGTCTCATATTTGTAATTGTTAGGTTATGTAGAATAGACTTCATAAAGACCATAATTTCAACTTAAATTTTTGTTATGTAGAATAGACTTCATAAAGACCATAATTTCAACTTAAATTTTCTTAATGAAGACTTCTTGAAAAAGAAGTGCATATGTGGCTCGTTGGGGCTTTAGATTTGCATAAGTAGTCAGATAGCACAAGAAAGCTCTCTATTGCCAGCTGACCTCCGTAGTCCTCCGCTGGGCTCTCCTGATTTTTAAAAATTTTTATCTTTTTGTATATTAGAGTTTATTTAGTTATTTCCCATTGAAAATTGTACAGCTTTTTCCAGTTTTTACTATTTTAAACATGCTACAGTGCATATTCTTTTTCATTCTTTTTGTGCGTGGGCATATAATTATCTGGGAAAGCCTTCTAGAAATGGAACTCCTGGTTATAGGGTATATGCATTTAATATTTTGACACTGCCAGATTGCCCTCCAAAAGGCTGAACCAATTTAAATTTCTACCAACAGTGTTTTACTGTTTTAATTTGCATTTCCCTATCAGTGCAGTTGAACATCTTTTTATGTGCCTTTTCATTTTTCTTCTATTGTGAATTGTTCATATACTTCCGTAATTTTTCATTGGGCTGTTTATTGTTCGCTCATTGAACTATAGGGGCCCTTCGTAGGTGCTATGAGAAAGAAAACTGCAGCCCTTACCAGGCGACAGGGGTGGGCCTGCAGCTAGTACCCAGGCCCAAGCGCTCCCCACATGAGACAGACAGTCTCGGGGCGCACTACCACCAGGGCAGGTTATTCTGTGCCTGTGGCCGACAAAATAGGTCCACTCCATAATCATGTCTGAGCACCAATAAAAATAAGAAAATCACAAAAAGGACCAAATATCCCTTTTTCCCAGCTATTTCGGAAGCCTGCTGCTATTTGACCAATTAGAGCTTTTAGCTCCATTTCTGATTCATTTCTATCACTGATTTGTGCTTGGAAACCTTTTCTTTCTGTGTCACAGAACTTTCCTGAAAACCATCTAGAGCACCACAGTCTTCTCTCTGCCCTAGAACTTACATGTCAATTATATCCTGCTTTGGTTATTAAGGGTCTTAAGGAAGGTTAACTTACTACACTTATCTCTCTAGATCTAACAGTGTTCAATTGGCTTGAGTTGTGGTAACTAGGAATTTTACCAAAATTGTATTTTTCATAAAACCTCAGGTATTAACTTGCTTTCTTCTGATAAAATATTTCATCAATAAAAATAAAATGTAGAGAAGATCATTAATTGAAATAAATATTCCCTTAGTTATTGAATTGAGTCATTATGCTGTTAGCAACAAGAAACTGTTAGATGTAAAATAAAAGGTAGAGTGTGGTAATTGTAGTAGCTTTCAGTGCTGTGAAGTAAAGATGACTTTGTTGTCACTCTACCCAAATGCTTTTTCCTGGTTTCCACTGCTTCCCTGTAAGACATTGTTCAAATAATATCTTTATTATATTTTCAGAATTATTTCCTAGAGTATACTAATTACTCTGCTTATTGCATGCCATTAAAAATATGAACTACACTTCCAGGAAAATTAGAAAAAAATTTTCAAGCAAAAACACACTTATTTTGGTCCAAAATTTTTTCTTCTTTTAGCCTATTAAATGTAATCTGCAGTGATAAATCATTAGTCTACATTTTCAGGGGCTGTCATTCAGCCATATGGCCTTCAAATGAATACATTTTCTGTATATTGGATTGTGTTACTGGACTGTGACATGTTGTAATGGTATAAAAGAACCTGAGCCCAGTAAAATATTCCTATGCTCATTTCTAGTGGTATCCTTGGAAACAATTTATGTAAATAATTGGCAGATATTTTAAAATGTTTTCTCTTTACTTAAACATAAAAATTTATATTAAATAGAATTGTTCATGGTATCAGTTTAACATATTATATTTATTTATGTATCTGTGATCAATTATCTTCCAAAAGGATTGACTACTGGCAGATACTTAATAAATATTTGTTAAATGAATGAATAAATTAATTTTTTAATAAAAACATACTATAGAATATATTGAATTACTTCACAGTATAAAAGGCAAAAGGCGTATAATAAAATGAACAAGGGGGAAATTTTGTCACTAAACTCCCAATGAGTTCCTAGCAGTCAAGCGAAAGCACATTTGTAGTTTTGTTGTCATAAAGGACATTGAATAACCTCACATAATTGCAAATCGATTTTCATTCTGTCTCATTAGGAAATGATGTATGCCTGGAATGGTTTTCCAATAGTGAGCAAAAGAAAAGACCTTTCTGAAAATCTGTTAGTAACTATTGAAAAAGCTGAGGCAACTTTACAAAATGAAAGTAAGTATGAAAAGTAAACGCCTGGAAATCTTTACCATTATCACTCTCCCATTCTGTCCCTGTGCACATCTTCCTGTGTTACCTTGTGTGCATGATAAGGACCGAAGAGCTTGGGCTGCCGGTGTCTGGATGATTGCAGCCGGGATGGAGGAGGAGTGATACACGCGCACATGGATGAACCCTGGAGACATTAGGCTGAGTGAAGGAAACCGGTTGAGAAGACTGTGTGTTATAAGATTCCATTTTATGAAATACTGATCCTACGTAAATCTTTAAAGACAGAAAGTAAATTAGTGGTTGCCTAGGGATGGGGAACTGGGGTGGGGGTGATATTCTTTTGAGGATGATGAAAATGTTCTAAGATTGATTGTGTGATGGTTGTACAACTCTAATATACTGAGTTGTATCTTTAAATGGTGGAATTACATGGTATGAGAAGTACATGGTAATAAATCTATTACCAAAAAAAAGGTGAAGGGGAGAAGGCATCAAGTTTTAGAGCATCACAAGGAAAGTGTGCATTTCTGATTTTAGTTTGTGCCTCTTTGCATACCTCCTTTTGCTCTCTAATGACGATCATGTTTTTGCAGACACAGAGAATTGTGTTCAAGTTGAAATCTTACCACAATTTAATTTTTTTATTCATTACTTTTGGTTGTACTAGAGGCCCGTCTCCAGTTCACTTGGAGGTTCCTTTTGGAAGCAGCGGGCCTTGTTGGTAGAAGGCAGATCAGGAGATCTAGGCTTAAAGCTCCAGCCTTGCCGTTGCGAGACTCGGGAGAACGCACCTGTCACTCCAGGCCTCAGGTCTCTTTTACAGTGGAAGTGGTGTGGGACCAGATAATACCCAAACTTTCTCGCTCTGACATTTTGTAATTCTTTATCTTAAACAGAGGCTTTCTCTTTTGATAAACCATGCCATAAATGTTAACCTCCAAATCATTTAGGTAACATGCCAAGATAATGGTCTTATCCTCTGGAATGTTCTAACGGCAAAAGTAAAATGAAAACTTCTGTGGTGATAAACATGGTAAAGGACGTAAAAATTCAGGGAGAGTCGGGGGAAGCTCTAACAGTTAACTCATTTTTCTTCACTGGAAAAAAATGGGCAGTGGAGGGGCGCTGGCTGCGCCCTCAGTGCCCTGGCCCCGTGGGGACTGCGTTAGTGACTGCGGGTCCCGCCATGAGGACCTCATTTGGATCATTTTTGTAGTTGAAGCTGCAGTGTGAGACTGAAACGTTTCATGAGGTTTCTCTTTGCAATTTAAAAAAATTAAACATATAATTATAATTGATAGACGTGAACAAAGTCATCCGTATTTTTGCTGCAACACAATTAACTTACAATTTTTGTGTATTCCATCCTAGCCTTATTTTTATAGTGTTAATCATAGTGTACCTGGACATATACTAGCCTAGTAGCCTAGTTGTTTGTTTTTTTTTTTAATACATCATAAACATTTTTTAAAATTGCGGTATAATTGACATAGTAGTTTTAGGTGTACAGCATCATAATTTGATATTTGTGTTCATTGCAAGATGATCATCACAGGAAGTCTAATTAATATCTGTCACCACAGATATTTTGATGAGAACTTTTAAGAGATCTCTTAGCAACTTTCAAATATGCACTACAGTAATATTAACTATAGTAACCATGTTTACATCACATCCCCATGACTTATTTTTTAAAATACGTTTTAAAAAAGATTTTATTAATTTATTTTTAGCAAGAGGGGAAGGGAGGGAGAAAGAGAGGGAGAGAAACATCGATATGTGAGAGAAATATCGATCAGTTGCCTGGCGCATGTGCCCCAACTGGGACTGCATCCGCATCCCAGGCATGTGCCCTGAGTGGGAATCAAACTGGTGACCTTTCACATTGCAGGACATGATATCCAACCAAGTCACACCGGTCAGGGCATGACTGACTTATTTTATAACTGGAAGCTTGTTCCTTTCATCCCCTTCATCCATTTTGTTCACCCCTACCCCTGGCAACCCTCAATCTGTTCTCTGTGTCTGAGCATGGACTTTTTGTTTTTGATTCTACATATAAGTGAGATCATACAGCATTTGTCTTTATCTGACTTATTTCACTTAGCATAATGCCCTCAAAGTCTGTCTATATTGTTACAAATAGCAAGATTTAATTCTTTTTTTATGGCTGGACAATATTCCATTGTGTGTGTCACATTTTCTTTATTGGTTCATCCATTGATGAACACAGGCTATTTCCACATCTTTGCTATTGTAAATAATGATGCAATGAACATGGGGTCATATATCTAGGATTTATTGTTATCATTTTATTTGGATAGATACTTAGAGTAGAATTTCCAGATCATGTGATAGTTCTATTTTTACCATAAACTTTTTAATTGTTGCTAAACAACCCTTACAATAGTTTCAAAAGCTTCATAGATCTCCATGGAGGTAATATATTATAGTTTAGTCAACTCCTTCAGTATTATTGGGCATTTAGGCTGCTTTCCGTATTTAAAATAATTCTATCTTTAGATTCCCATCAGTCAGGAGAAGAAACATGAAAGAATGAAAGCTTAATCAGTGGGCTTATCTGCTAGCAAGGTTGAGGTTTCAGGCTGGATAGTTAAAGAATCCAATAGAACAAGGAACAATGCTGCTCTGAGGCCGCAGACCCTCCCCCACGGTAGCCATTTGGCCATTACAAACTGGTGGTCACAGGGAGACCAGGCGAGTGTAAGACGCACATAAAATTTACCATGTTAACTATTTTTATTATACAGTTCAGGAGTGTTGAGTATGTTCACATGGTTGTACAACCAGTCTCCAGAGCTTTTTTATACCCATTAAACAATAACTCCCCATTTCCCCTACCTCTAACCCCTGGCAACCACCATTTTACTTTTTGCTACTGTGAATTTGATTACTCCAGAGTCTTCATATAAGTGGCCTATTTCACTTAGAATAATGTCCTCAAGGTATATCCATGTTGTACCATGTCAGAACTTCCTTCTTTTTAAATGCTGCATTATATACCACATTTTGTTTATCCATTTATCCATCGATATACATTTGGGTTACTTCTACCTTTTGGCTATTGTGAATAACATTTCTATGAATACGGGTATGCAGATATTTTTTGAGATCCTGCTTTCAATTCTTTTAGATGTATGCCTAGAAGTGGAAATACTGGGCCACATGGCATTTCTTTTTTTTATTTTTTGAGGAACTACCATACTGTTTTCTATGGCGGCTACACCGTTTTACATTCCCACCAACAGTGCACAAATGTTCCAATTTCTCTACATCTTTGCCAACACTTGTTATTTTCTGTTTTGTTTTTGTTTTGATAGTAGTCACCCTAATGGTGGTGACCTTTACAATTTTTCACGTGAACTAATTTCAAAAAGAAAAAATATTTTCTTTTGAGTGAAAAATAAACATAAAGTCACATCATTTTGAATTTAAATGAAAGTTCACCTTAAAAATGAGATTTAACAAAAGGTGCTTCTATAAAATCCATTTGGGCTTTTGAGCAAATTTATTAGTATTCATTTTTGTTAATTAATTTGACCACCTTTCATTAATTTGCTTGTTTGGATAATGTTAGATTTCTCTGCTAGATAGAGAATTATAATAAGCAGAGAAAACATTTGTTTTTGCTATTAAGGAAATTATTTATGATTAATTCCCAAATATCTACAAACTAAATAGAAAATGAATATTTTTTAAATAAGTAGATATGTGAAAACTGGGAAGTAAAGGAACACCCCTTTTTATTAAGTGAAAATATTTGTAGTGTATTCTTTCTCCCAGAAAAGTAAGCCAGCTTGCTGCTTTTTTTCTACAAAGAAAAGGCTTTGGATTTAGTAGAATGAATTCTGATATTTGAATGTCCATCCTTTTGGTGTAGACTAATAGGCACACCAGAGCTGGGCCTTTGTATATCAAGAAGTCTGAAGGTCATTGGGTTTTCTCTGTTTGAGTGGGACCTTTGCCCCACCCATGAGTTTATTTTGCCCCTCCATTGGTTGGGGGAAAATTAAAGGGGTAATACATGTATCCGACGATGCATGTAAAATGCAATAGAGGGTCAGAAAACCAAGATACTGTCTCCATCCTTTCCTTCCTCTTTTAGTGTCATGTTGAGATGATGGGCTTAAGAGATGTTTAAGCGGGGCCAGGGGAAGCTCAGAAATACACACTGCACTTCATAAAATTCTGTCTTTGTATGTCTTCTCCTCGGTAAAAAAAACTTGGTTTCTTTTCTGAAGATCCTCTTTGCCAGACGTTACACATGAGATTTATGATGATGATCTCTTCCAGGTCCATCGCTTCATGCAGGAAGATTACCCAACACACACATCCCTCTCCCTGTCCACCCACCCAACTGCTATGACCTTTGAGTGATTAGGTTTCTATCCTTCAGAATGAGGGGGGGAAAATACAAACATGGAAAATGGAGTTAAGTTGTAAACCTGAAGTTACCTCATCTTCCCCAGCCCGTTATTATTAGGAATTGAATGTGTTTTTGCTTCCACCTTTGACGGGTATCTTAAAGTAAAGGACAGCAAAGTGTACAATTGACGTTCTATTCTGACAGTGCCATAGTTCTGAGAGGCTGGTCACGGACACCAAGGGAGAAATGCTGTTTGAAGAGAGAAAAATACTTGGTGTGATGTGACTGGAGTCAGTGTTTGCCATTAATTCCATTAGCGTTTCATTTGAAATCTAACTAAATTCCAACATGTAGCAAGGAGTTAGTACAGTAGCTCTTTTTTGACTCTTTGTTGTGGTTAATTTGCTTAGTGAAATTGTATAGCAAACCTAATCAGAGTTACATAAAAGGGAAAGTGCTATTTATTTTATGGCTTTTCACTTTCTAAATTTATTTTCAATATATTTCTTTGGTGTGTTTCAACTAGCTTCTAAAATGTTCACTGTAGATATTTTTGTAGTGTGGACCTCAAACTTCTTTACCTTCCATCTACCCTCTGTTTCATTATTAAGTGCAGATCTTTTGTGATGAAAATATGCTTTCGTGGAATGTAAAATGGAACTGTTGAAATGTTCATCCGTGAAGTCACCCATGAGCTGGAGAATCATGATAAACATTCACATTTTAAGAGAAAATAATCATCTGACAAATAGTGCTCCTTAGTCTGAAGGATTAATGGTTTTGCTTTCTAAGTTTTTGGAGGAATATTGGTGTTTTTGGATCTATTTTCCATTTTCCTAACTCACAATCTGAATAGAAGCTAAGTGCGGCTTTATTGGTACTGAAGCTTTGTGTAGTGCTATGTCAGCTCTTCTCAGCAAAATCATTGCTCACTAAGTGCCAGAGTTTTGTGATAGCACAGCCTATCAGGGACTCCTACACAGAACTCAATAAAATGCACCAAAATGATACTAAAAACTAGCATCCAGCATGGACCCTAAGGGTTCGGTTCTAGGCCTGAAAAGACATTGCTTCTTGAACGAGTATTTCAATAAGCATCCATGAATAGAAGCATAAATAGATTTTTTTTTCTTTTGGTGGAGAAAGTGGCCCTTAAGTAATAAGAAAGGTAATGTGGTGTTGATATCTGTGATTTTTCTTGGTGAATGACCAGAGAGGGGCTGGAAGTGAGAGGTGAATATCAGCTGTTTTTGACACCTAGAATAAAGTGACCTTCTTCTAGCATCGTTAACCTCCCATAGACAAGCAGTTTACTGAAACACCAGCATGTGCTAGTGGCGATGTCTGAGGTTTGTTCTGAAAACAGGAGGCTTCCAACATGCGGGTCTCCCGGGGCCTCATTAGATTGGTTTTAGGGCCTCCCCTCTCCCTGCCCCCACTCCCCCGTGTTGTCACAGCCTGAAGTGTGGAAATTACCAGTCTGTCTTGGAATGACTTCTTAGTTGCACCTAACTTGCAAAAACCCCCAAATTCAAAAGTGGTTGATGTGAAATGGCTACCTTTTGTCACATAGATGTCACACATATTATGGCTCCTTCTGTTTCATATCCCACAGCCTTGGGCTGTAGGAGAAAGAGAGTCATTTTCCAAAGGGAAAAAGTGGTGAAAGGAAAACCTTTCCATTAGCCCCAAGCAGTTAGAAGTGTGTGAGGACCTGAGGTACCTGCATGTACTTCAGAACCATTTTGCCTCATTGTATGATATAATTTCCTCCCAAAAGAACATAGCTGGGGAGAATTGATAAGTTATAAACATAATGATGTGGAGAGGGTACTCTGCTTCCTGAATTTTTAATGGGTAGAAGGCCATCTGCTTCTCCATATGGAAGTGCTATCCTCATCCGCATGAAGCCAACACAGTTAGGAGCCAGAACCACAGGAGGAGCCAGCCTTCTTGCTCCTCATGGCTTTACTTTTATAGAATTAATAAAGCTCTTACTTTATTTAAAGTTCAGATATTCTGCTGTCTTACTAAGGCCACATAACTCAGAATATGAGCCCCTGAAAAAAATTTTTAAGTGGATGAAGTGAACCCTTAATAAAATGGTGTACTAAACTAATGTAGTAATTCAGTATTCTATTCATTTAAAATAATTTTATTGTATTTCATTTAGTGAGGCATAGCAAATGCTAAAAATACTTTCCTTAATTTTAAGCAATCCCTCTGAAACCTAATAGCTATTATCAGCTCTCGCTTCTTAATTAGGGTTTTAAAAAAGTATTTTTGTTTTTGTGTGTGATTTTTGTTTGTTTTGCTATAAGACTTCAGCGATTATGCGGTAGATGATGAATGCTTGGTGAAGCTGCTGAAAGGATGCTGCCTGAAGAACTTACAGCGGCCCTTGCAAGCGGAATTGTGTTTCAATCACATTATCCAGAGGTAAAAACGAGCAGGGAAACCAACCTGAGTGCACACTGTGGCTTCTGGGGAATTACTGTGGACAGTAATTTCTCTCGCTGCTGCCCTTTTACTTGGGGTTACCAGAGACAGAATCCAGTGGTGTCTTCTCTGTTGTTTGAGAACAAGATTATAATCTTAAGTGGAACATGGCTCTGTGCATTTCCACTTGATGTTTAAAGGTGACACCCAAAACTAAATTTATGGCCAAGCTAACAGGTGTCTAACCAAATTCTGTCAACAAGGTACTGAACTTCGGATGCTTTTTTGATTTCTGTATTTGTATTTCCATTTATTTATTCCACAGGTATTTGAACACTCAGTCTGTGCCAGAGACTGTACTGTATCCTAGGGATTCAGAGTTGAGTAAAGAGACTTGCTGTCATTGTGGTAATAATTTGGCAGTGGAGAAAGACATGGGGTGAACACTACCACTGCTTCTCATTTGGCAAGAGGCTTTTCTCCTGTATATACGAGTTTTTTTTTCTTTTAATTTTTGATATTTTTTCCCCTGATTGCTTTGATGGTAATGTCCGGCTCCTTTACTAAACAGAGTTGAGTCAGGGTCCTGCTGCCTGGCTCTCTTCTCTGTATCTGGAATCATAACTGCAGGCGTCTGCAGGGGCTAGACGAGAAACCTCACCAGGCGGTGGCGGGAGCAAGGGCTTGGCGGGCACTGGAGACGCAGGGGATCCTGTGTTCTCTCCGAAGAAGGCAGCCACTCCTTACCGCTCACTGATTACTGCTCTGTACGGTGTAGGCACAGTAGCAGCAATCCCTACAATTTTCCATGAAAACCCTGGAATATGGGTTCTGTGTAGCATCTTCTGATGTTTAAATATAGTTCAATTTTTTTTTTAAAGCACCGTAGGCCGACTAGCTCCCAGCCCCAGATTGCCAGCTGACAGCCTCTGTTCCACATCATGTGCTTTTCCACCCCTGATGGCACGCATCTCCTTCCTGAGGCTGTAGGACTGGTGTTCTTATAAGAGGAGGAAAAAGACCATGTTTATTTCCCAAATAAGTAATATACTTAAAATTTTTAGGAAACATGTTAAAGAACTATCCATTGAGTTCTGTTTTATTGGTGTTTTTGTAAGGATCAAAAGGATTATTAAAAAGGATTGCCAATTTGTGCTATTTTTTTTTTTATCAATAGTGAATTGTTTGCTTTTACGTTTTATAATTTTGGATTTTGAGTTTTTCTTCATTGACATTTTATCTTGAGGCTCCTAGGAGTCTAGGAATGAGGAAGAGTCTCACTAAAGTCATTTGCTCTTCTTTCTGCCAGGTTCCCCAAAGACTTTTCAGCCAAGAACCACATTCATGTTCAATTTATTGCTTAGAGGTTCTTGGATCCTCTGGGGATGTAAATTTAAATTGCAAATCCACATGAGGACAGGCCTAGTAGTTATTAATTTCCCAGTGAATGTGTTTTCACTTCCCACCTAGAGCACAGGCCAAACAGCAAACTGCCCGTGTTTTCCTCCTGTGCCAGGGACTGGGTGTTTCCTGGAACAGCCTTTCAAGGGACTTAGCTCATGTACAGTCTCAGTCCTGACTCCTTGTCCTGTGTGGCCCCAAGGCCTCATCTCCGTCTTGGCCACTGAAACACAAAGCCCTGGGTGGTTCAGACTGAAGTGGCCCCTGGAACTGGCTGGGCATCGTCCACACACTCAGAGTTCTGCTTTCATTTCGTTTTCAGTTTTAGAATTTTTCTTATGTTCATGTGAGCTGAACTATGCATTTGAAAAAAGTGTGGTTCATATTTTTCTAGTGTTTCTAGATGTTTTGTCATCAGAGAGCTTTTATATTATTGCTGAAAACAGAAATATTGACAACTGTTTTTTTAAAAGACTTTTAAAATTTATTTTTAGAGAGAGGGGAAAGGAGAAAGAGGAAGAGAAACATCAGTGTGTGGTTGCCTCTCCCACGCCCCCTACTGGGGACCTGCCCCACAACCCCGGCACGTGCCCTGACTGGGCATCAAGCCGGCAACCCTTTAGTTCGCAGGCTGGCACTCAATCCACTGAGCCACACTAGCCAGGGCTGTTGACCACTTCTTTACTGACATTTTTTTAGCATTTTAAGACTTAACAATAACAAAGTGAAGTGAACCTTAGCAAAACAATAATATAGCATTCTTATTTTTTCAATAGAACACATTTATGTTCAGGAGGAAGGCCTTGTCCTTTTCAGGATTAATCTTTGAAGACCTGCATGTATTCATATACTTAAGGGGCAGTAAACAATCCTCAGTGCTGGTTCAATATCCACTAAGGAATAAAATAAGAGATTACTATATTAAAAGCACATGATTTATTGCCATAGTTTATTAAGTCCTTTGAATAAACTTTGAAAAATAACTGCTTTTCTCTGATAGTAGTGCTGCTAAGCACCTGTTTTATGAGGAATGGGGGACTATATATGTTGAAAAAGAATGATACGTTTCTTGTTTTGTTAAGACTTGCTTTTCTTTCTTTTCCTTTATTTTTACTGTTGACACTATTAAGACTCAATTGCTTTTCATTCATTCTTTTAGTGAAAAGCTACTGAAGTTTGACCACTACCTAGTGCCATTTACTCTGTTTGAGTTGGCGTGTTTGTACAAAAGCCAAGGGGACATGGACAAGGCCCTGAAGGCCCTGGAAACTGCGAGGTGAGTGAGGGGACCACTTTCTCTGGATCGCCATGGAGTCAGGAAGGCCAGCAGCGTTACGACGATAGGGGCAGCACATACACGCCCAAAAGTTAAAACATTAATGAAAGTTAGTAATAATGTTACCTTTGCTAAGTTATGCTCAGTTTATGCCCATGCCTTCTGCTATAATTGTGCTGTTTTCAGCCTCCCGAATGCCTGACCCTGTGACCCTTTACAGACGTTAGGATTGTGGGCTTCTGTATGACAGATATGTAGTTTAATCTATTCTAGATCAGAGGTCGGCAAACACTTTCTGTACCCTTACAGAAAGTATTTTTGGCTTTACAGTATAAGGTCTCCATTGCAGCTACTCCATTGTATTAAAAGCAGCCATAGAAGACAATAGATAGGTAGATAGATAGATAGGTAGATAGGTAGATAGATAGATAGATAGATAGATGTTTCCAGATTTAGCCATAATTTTGATAATAATTTGCTGATGTTTGGTGTGTTCAACCATATTTCTCCTTTCCATGAAGGCCCACCGATTTGAAAAAGCCCTTTGAATCTTCTCGCACCTCTCTCTGCTTTTTGTTTACTGTGGCAATTTCAAAGCACTTTATCATTTCTGCAAGACAGTGGCTCACAGACTTGTGGTCATGGCTCTGTTAGCAGGGCCCAAGACCCTATGGTCTGTTTGCCTTGAACACTTCTTGCAGTGGATAAAGAATGCAATTTTTAGCTCTAGGCTGTAAATAACTTAGTGGTTCATTGGTTTGTTCATTTACTCAAATTCAGCAAGTATTCACTGAGCACCTCTTATGTGCCAGGCACTAGTAAAGCCTCTAGACAGACAACTGCACACAAATAGCAATGCTCCTGCTCTCTTAGTTGGAGGGAGGTATTGAATTTAAAAAAAGAAAAAAAAAAAGCACAGCAGTGCTTTGTGCTTTGCCGACATTTACAGTCTGACACAGAGCACTTGGCTGTTGCTGTAGATTGGGTTGATTCTGGAAGGTGTCCTTGAGGAGGTGATATTGTAGTTGATATTCGCATAATTAAAGCCAGTCCGGGGGCGAGCCAGGTGAAGAGTGCCTGGGGAACGTTCCTGGCTGCCGCCACAGTTAACTACCATCTAGACTAGGGAGTTGAGCCTTTAGATTGGTATTGAAGCTTTTTACTTAGATGAGGAATACTTAGAGGAACAGGTTTGGGGACAGAGAAAAACATACTTCAGTTTGAACCATGATATCTTGAGATGACTACTAGGTATCCTCATGGAGACAGAGTCGGCAGCAGCTGTGGAAGCCTAGAGTTCATTGGAAAGGTAAAGGCCAAATGTGCGGATTTCAGAGTCACCAGCACAGGCATAGTGATATTTGAAGCCATGATACTGGACGAGGTTATTTTGGGAAACAACTAAAGAGAGACAGAGAGAAGGGGGGTCTAGCACAGAGCTTTGGGACATGCTATCATTTTAAGTAGAACAAACAATGAGAGCAGGAAGAAATAGCACTGAGTCAGAACAAGATCCAGGAAAGTCAAGTGAACAAGGTGTTTCAAAAGAAGAGAGTGGTCAGTTGTCAAGGTGGCCGCTGAGAGGTCAAGCAAACTGAGACTAGAGAAGTGAACTTGGCCACCTGAAGATCAGTGGTGACTTTGACAAGTGAGATGAGAAAGCAGAGCCAGCTACTTTAGGAAACTCAGGATGTTGTGCTGTGAATAAAACATAGTAATGGGGCAGATGCTTCAGGGGCATGGTGGAGCCAAGAAAGTCACCCTCTTTTATTTTCACCTCTCCTTCTTCTCCTTTTTGCCCTCCTGCCTCTTCTACTTTTCCTCCTCTGCCTCCTTTTTCTTCTTAACGGGAGATAAAAGAGCAAATTACTTTTAAAGTTAATTTGTTGAGAGCGATAATGACTCATACTTCAACTGACATGTATGTGTCATCAAATGTACCTCATGGAAGATTAGGAACCCTAAATACTGTCATTCCAAGTATTTGTTATTTGGTCATATTTAGTGTTACTTAAGCAATGCACAGTAAGGCAAATTTATAATGGTGAAAATAAAAGACTAGACTAAATTCACTGCTGAGAAAACAAGATCAGCGGTGATCAAAAGTCACCGCTAACTGAAGCCAGTACTGACGATGCCCCAAACAGACTTCACAATAGTTTAAGACTGTCAGTTGTCTGCAGTTTCCCATTGCAAAGTTGCCAAAATTAGTGGCCAGACTTTAGGAAAACACTGAATTAACTCCTTTGGTAAACTCTAGTAAGATGTTGATTTAGCTTCTGAATAACAACCCTTATTATTAAAAATAATCCTTTTCAAGGTTAGCAGTAAGTACTACTCCGACCTGTAGAAAATGAAGGGCTATAGAAAGAAAGAAATATCGCTGCAAAGAAAGAAGGTGCAGCTCACCCATGGGCCAAAGCAGTGTGTGAAAGCAGGAGCCCAAAGTCGAAGCCATTCCATTTGGGTCATTCTTGACAATTCTAGCAAAGAGAAGCCATGAATGATTTAAGTAAAGTTTTTAAGTCACCTGTGGATTTTAATGGCCTGACCCTTCCTAACATTGTCACACAATAATTACTGGCCAAACCATTGATATTTGCCTGTGAAAATTGGAGTGAGTGATTTTGGTATCACCAAGTAATCCTATTGTCTTTATAGTGGTGGTGGTTTTATGGGATATTCAAGATAATTTTGGGGAGCGTTGTGCTTGATATCACTTTCATCATGTTTATATGAGGGTGCTTTAACATTTCCAGTTTAGAAAAGGAGGTCACCTTTTTAAGAATAGCTCACAAAATTGTTAACCCCTCCTCATAACCTTGCTGTGTTTGTGAATGGCTTGGTAATTAGGTAGAACCTAGGTATGCAAACTCTGACTTTTAGGTAATCACCAGGAAGCGTCTAGACTTAAAGAATATTGCCGTCCTCCTCCCCTCACAGAACATAATCTACATTTTAACAGTATCCAGGGTTACACATATTCAAGTTTGAAAGGAAGTAAGGAATGAAAATGAGAGGAAGAGTGGATGGTGGTGGTGCTCTGGCATACAAGAAATTTTGACGTTACGATTTTGTTATTATTGTCTTTAGAAACAACTACAAAGATTACTCCATGGAGTCTAGACTACACTTCAGAATTCAGGCTGCTCTTCACCTCTGGAAAAAACTTTCCTCAGACTGATGAGAACGTGAAGGACGGAATTTCGTCTCCATTAACACCAACATCTGCTATAGATTAGACCTTGTATTAAAGTGGAAAAGTGATCTTATGAATGAGAGATAAAAATTAATTTTATTATCAATATTTTCTATAATTTGTGTGGTGCGCTGTTGTTCTATGTGAATGTTTTTTTGTTTTTCCCTATGGAATAATGTTCAGTACTACCTAGAAAATTCTTATATTTTGCCTCTCCAAGAATTTCATATTAGACTTAAATTGGAGAGTAAAGAAGTCTTTTAAAGGACTCAAAGGTACAATAAAGTCTAATTAGATTATTTATTTTTTTTAGTATGGAAATTAATATTGTTTAATTAGCACATGGCTTACAAGTTGAGCCATTTTTAGATCTGTTGGTCGGTTAAACTTCAGAGTTATTTTGTTGCCTAGTATTTAAATTTCAGAGGGGAAATAAAATCAGTTATATCAGAAGAGCTTAATAACCTTCTGAAGACTCCGGAAAAAGACAGGCAGTGTGTGTGAATGGGGATGGGGTAGTGTAGTTAATAGGTTGGAAAGACACGTGTCTAGCAAAGGTGGTGACATATTGTTAATGTTTTTTTAATTCTTCTTGTACGTTAAAAGTGATGACATTATTGAGAGACTATCTTGTTTTTGAATGTACTTATTAAGTCTATTATAATAACAAAATTTTAAAAAGTGTCTATGTAAAGGGAAGAAAAAGTTATATTTTAGACATTATCCTTAGCAACAAGAGCCTAAAATATATATACATTGATTATTTTTCTTAGAGGAAGCAAAGTTCCTGCTGCTTTAAATATGTAAAATATCAATAATTTTTACACTCATGATGTTGGTGAGCGAGGTCTAATTTTCTAATCTCTCTAGCACTGTGACGGTTCCTTGTAAATATCTGGACTGTGTTTGGTCCTTTAATTTGGAAGCGCATCAGGACACTGAGTGGAGGAGAGCCTGACTCTGTGGCCCTGGCTCCGCGGCCCTGGCTCTGCGGCCGGTTAGCAGTCACTGGAGTGACCTTGATGGGGCCCAGCTGTCTGCATCACCGCACCCTCCTGATCTGTGACGCGGGAGAAGGATGTATGATTGCCAAGGTCTCCTTCAGTTTTATAACTCTCAGTATTTTAGGTGTTTATTTTCAACAGACAATGTTAAACGTTTAATCTGAATCACTCCCACTTTGAGTATGTTTTTTAGTTTGCAGTCATCACTGTATCTACCCCCAACCCTCCAAATACGTATGTTTTGTGACGAAGGACCAGTTTGCATCCAGAAGGAGGGGAAAAAATTTGTGAATCAATGAATCAGGGCTTTGTCCTATTTCTGCCTCTATTTTGAAGACTAACTTGCCATGGGAGCATGTGCAGTTTAACAGAAATAGCCCCAGATGGGGAATCAGGAGCCCATCTTGTAGTTAATAGTTCCTCCGCATGCCAGCAAGTCATTCACCTTTCAGTTTGCTCACGTATTTGGCCCTGACAGTAGCCCAGATTATGAATTTATTCCCTGTTACACAAACCTGTCCCCAGTAGGTGTTTGCCTTGGTTTCTTTAAGGTGTTAACTCTTGACCAGTGCTGAGGATGTATTTCCAATGGGAGATATTAATACAAGTTGAGTCAGAATACCACCCCTTCAGATGGTATGGTGAAGATCTCAATGTGAGCTATTGTAAATTATGTAACTTTACTGTAGGTGCAGACAAAAGAGAAAATAAAATAAACTGTCAGTACAACAAGTAGTGGAAAATATGTTTAATAATTATTTTTTATAGAACTTGGAAAAAAGTTTATAAATTATTTAGAAGAGCTTTGGTAGCATTATTTTTTTAAAGTACAAACACCCACATTGCTTTTGTGAGAAGCTGCAAGTAAGAGCAAAAACCAGTAAAATTCTCTTTCTGGTATGAAATGAAAAAAAGTTAAGCTAATAGTGGTTATTTTTATTTTATTTTAGCTCTGCATTATAAAGAAACAAAAATAATTCATATCTGTTTAAAATATTACTTATTTTTCTTATTTTTTATTACTTCCTATTCTTTTTATAGTTGACTGGTAATATGGATAACCTAGCCAGTAGATTTTTAAGTGCTGTTAATATCACTAATGCTACAAATATTAATCTGTTTCCTGCCATGTTTAAGATATTGTGGTGACATCGGTTTCTTGTAACATGAGCTCATCTTGTATTTTTGGAGTTATTTTGTGACGCAGGGTGTTCTGTGTAGAATGAGTACTGAAGTGACAATGTTTTATCTAATGTTTTGAGGGGCATATGTGGTAGCGTTGGGCTGCCAATGTGTCTGACAGTTTGTGTAGTTCTTGGTATAATTGCCTTTTTTAAAAAAAATTGAGAACCAGAGTTCTGATTGGTGCTGTATAAATTTAAGACTCAAACAGGCTCTGCTTTGTAGGATGGTGACAATGAAGGCATGGCTTCTGCCTGACCTCTAATGGAAGATTCACTACATCAGCTCTCTTATGGACATATATTTTAATGTTTCTATGCTTCCTCTCGATACAAGAAGATCCCAAGTTTCACTGGAAAACGGAGTCCATTGATTCCCTGTCTCTTCTGTGAGTAGGTCCAAACTGTAGGAAGATGAATTCCAGATCAATCAGCTTCAAAGAAGATATTAAATCATTGAAACAATCCAATGGTATAACCTTCTGTTTTGCCAAGCTGTAGTTTAGCAGAGCTGTGTGATTGTCCATTTGTACCTGGCCTGGAAGCTAATGATTTCATTTTGAGGTTAAAACACTGTATCAGTCTTTGATTAGGGTTTCAAATTAGGGCTTCAGACCAGTGGGGTGTGTGTAAAGATGAAAGCTGCCCCCTGTCAGAGAAAAGTATTTTCTCTTTTGAAGCTGCTTTCAGAGGTTGTTACCTTGTGATGCACACTGATAGTCCCTCCTACTAACACTCAGTATGGTACTAATTCTCATCCATTTCTTTAACGTGACTCTGTTGATGTTTTCAAATAGATGTTTTTCTTCCTTTGTACATTAAACATAACAATTTTAAAAAAGGTCTTTGTGACCAACTGGAAAAGTTTCTGAAAGTACTTATTCATTGATTTTTTTTTTTCATATTTTGGTTCCTGTTCTCTCCATATTTATAAATCATAAATTCAGATACATTTAATTAAAATGAATTAATGAAGACTCCAGTGATCATTTTATGCCCAAGATATTGTAGTCCACACGGCCTGGAAAGGATCTGGGGAAATTATCTCATCCTTCCTAATCTCTAAACAGTGTTGTTTCTCCTCAGTCCTGCCCTGTCCAGTATGGCAGCCACTGGCTGTGCGTGGCGTCGCAGCGCTTGATGCATGGCTGGTGGCACATGTTGGAATGATGCTGAGTGTCAGGGAGCACTCGTTTGCACACGCTGCAGTTCTGTTTAGGGGTTTCCTACTAGTGTACTGTCTGGGGTTCTGGCTTTTACTTGCTGACAACTATGATCACCCAGGCACCGTAGCTGCATTGTCAACTGTGGTTCAAATACATATTGGTGGGATTTGTTTTTCCCATTTCAGTGCCCATAAACTTTCATTTCATCATGTTCTTTAGATGATCAAGGTCATCAGCACATTTGAACATTATTCTTTCCCTACCCCCCAGGGCTGCTTATGTACTAAACTAAGAGAATTTATTTTTTAAGATCACTTTTTTAATTTGATTTTAAAGACATTCTTTGCTTTTTCAGATGCAACAGCACAAACAGAGTTGTAGAGGAAGTGACTCTTACCTTTGAGATTTTAGTAGATTTTATGATTAAAATAACGTTTTCAATCCCTTGACCTTTCAATATTTTTATATTATCAGTTTCATCATTGAGTCAGCTAGATTAATATTACTAATTAAAGACTTTTAGGCACTAGTTAGCCACTTACAGAATAACCTGGCAAAAGTTTATTTAGGGTTATATATTTTATGCCTTTGCTACCTACTGTTATTTCTAATGTGTATAATAACTAAGTGAAATGCATACATATATTTGACATTTTTAATCTCTTTAGACATTTTGATCAAATACTCAGAAAAATAAATAGGAAACAGCTTATAAATATTAGACAATACTTTATACTATTCTTTCAGAAGAAGTGCAGGATATTCTCCAGATTGTTTTTCCTCCCCCAGACCAATTATTTACATATTTTTTCTTTATTTGTCAAAGTGCTTGTTGGGACACCCTATTCCTGCTTCTCATTGTTGGTAGTTTTGTCTTTTATACATCTTCTGTTAGATTTAGTTGCATCAGAGTGTTGAAATTGAAACATAGTAAAAAGGACAAATCAGAAGTTACCATGGGGGAAAATACCTCCTGTGTTGGGCGTTTGCTATCTGACCTTGACGGTGCCGAAGTCCATGCCAGTCTCTTTATAATGTTGTAAGTGCAGAAAGAATTGGTGCAAGGACTATTTAATGGATTGAGGAGACTGAGCAGGTTCTTGGTCTGACCCATCCAAAGGGACCTATGGGTCTAACTTCAGAGGAAGTCCACCCCTCCTTCTGTCCAGTTACAAATGTGTCAGCACAGTGATCCTGTAACATGGCTTGGCATGGAAAAACCAAAGCAGCCACCCCACTGTAGCTAACTAACAAAGAATCCATACAGATACCTACAAATTGGGTATTTAATGGGAAAACTCAAGATACTTGTACACCAAGCTTCACTAAGACTTTTGCATATTAATATACAATATACCTTTGTATGGCAATCCAGTAGTTCTTGGAAACACATAATTTAAAAGATGAGCGTAAGGGATGCTGGCTTATCGAGTGGGGCTCTGCCCTGCAGAATCTTCCCAGTTGCCACAGATGAAGAAATAAACTGTCCCAGACACGATTTGCCTGTCAGGAGAGGAGGTAGTGATTCCCTCCAGTGGAGAAGACCCCGAGCCCTTTTCCTGAAGTGGCTTTTATTGAGGACAACATGCGCAGGGGTATACAGCCTGCATGCAAAGCTTATCAGTCAATGCCTAAAGGCTGTATTTACAGAAATTTGCCTCAGCTCAGGGTCTGGTAGGGTGGCTCCCTAAAACCTGCAAAAATAAACTCATCCTATGCTCGAACTCCACACACCAGTACTCATTTAACTCGAGGGCATTCTTAGCAAAGCAGGTTTCATAGGATTTGATGCATTCCTTTTCCAGGCCTAATTGCCCCCAGGAACCGCCTGATCCAGATCAGGGCTGTACCTGCCTTTAGCGTTGTTTCAAGCCTGAGTCGGGTGAGGGGAGCAGAGCAGCCAGGAGATGAGGAGACTTCTTTCAGATGGAATGAGTATTCTGGCCACGTCAAAGCTGAGGGGTGAGGGTCTTTTGCCCCTTCTCCATGTCCCCCCAAGTCCTTCCCTGATGGCCCGTAAGCGACTGTGCCTGTCTTAGGTTGCCCCTGCCGTCATTGACTAACCAGCCATCCTCCAGGGCCAGGTTTTGCAGGGGGACAGGTTTTGTCTCCTCTGTGGCCTGTTTTCCCAAGGCCTCCTTGCTCAGCTCCAGCCTTGGGGCCCTCTCACCTGTCAGCGAGGCTACAGTTCCTGAAACCAGGCAGGGCAGTTCCCAGCAGCTTATCAGGGTGGGAACTTTTGTTTTATTGCTACTTAATATTTTCTAGTATATTGCTTTTAATTATTTAGGTAGCTTGTTTGGCACCACTTAGGAAAAAAAATGGTGGTCTCAGTGCAACACAACTGATAGCCAGAGAAGTTGGATAAAATGAACACATTAAAGAATATTACTTATCATTTCAGTTTTAAAGGATTTACATTATTTGAAATGCTGGAAGGTCTCAATTAAAAGGGATGACTCCTTGCTTTGGAAATCATGCAGGCATTTTTTAAAAAATTAAATTTATTGGGGTGACATTGGTTAAAAAATTATAGGTTTCAGGTGTACAGTTTTATAACATGTCATCTGTATTTTGTACTGTGTGTTCATCACCCTGGGTGAAGTCCCCTTTCATCACCATTTATCCTCCCTGTACCCTCTTACATCTTTCTTTGCCTCCCCTTTCCCTCTGGTAATTACCATACTGTTGCCTGTATCTATGAGGTGTTACTTTTGTTTTTGTTCTTTTTTTTTTGCTTAGTCCCTTCACCTTTACCACCTAGGTCCCCAACCCTTCTCCCCACTGACAGCAGTCAGTCTGTTGTTTTCTCTGAGTCTGTTTCTGCTTTGTTTGTTAGTTTATTTTGTTCATTAGAGTCCGCATAGGAGTGAAATCATATGGTCATTGTCTTCCTCTGACTGGCTTATTTCACTTAGCATAATGCTGCCCAGGTCCGTCCGTGCTTTTTTATGGCTGAGTAGCATTCCATTGTGTACATGTTCCACAGTTGTTCCCTCGCCCCACACACATCTACTGAATGGGCACTTGGGCTGCATCCAAACCTTGGCTATTGTAAATAATGCTGCAATGAACATAGAGGTGCATCTATTCTCTCAAGTCATTGTTTTGGGTTTCTTTGGATATATCCCCAGAAGTGGAATCTCTGGGTCATAAGGCAGTTCAGTTTTTAATTTTTTGAGGTATTGCTTTCCACAGTGGCTGCACCGGTCTGCATTCCCATCAACAGTACACAAGGGTTCCCCTTTCTCCACGTCCTCAACAGCACTTGTTTGTGGATTTATTGATGGTAGCCATTCTGACAGGAATAAGATAGTATCTCATTGTGGTGTTAATTTGCATTCCTCTGAATTTTAGTGACATTGAGCATCTTTTCATATGTCTATTGGCCATCTGTATGTCCTCTTTGGAGAAGTGTCTATTCAGGTCCTTTGCTCATTTTTTAATTAGATTGTATTTTTGGTATTGAATTTTATAAGTTCTTTATAAATTTTGGATGGATCATTAATGAATGTGTTCTCCCATTCAGTGGGCTGTCTTTCTATTTTGATGGTTTCCTTTACTGTGCAAAAGACATTTTAATTCATTCTTATCTTTATTGGAGTCAAGTGTTCAGGTGGCAATTTTGC